ATTAAAATAATCCCCGAAGGTTTTAAAAAGTGGTCAAGAGGGGCAGGGTTGTTAAAGGGAAAAACGTTATTTCTTTTTCCCTTTTTTTGCCCTATGTCAGCACAAGAACCCAAAAAAAGAAGAGAGATGCGTTGGGAAACCCCTCACAAACTCTCAAAACCAAAAATGGGCTAAGATAGCTTTTAAAGGGGTCCTTTTAAACTATCGGCCCTTTAATTTTCCGCATGGATGTTAAAATCACCCAATAAAGATGAACCCCCTCAGTATTTAATACCAAAAAACAAAAGGAGCTCTGGGAAAACTCATTTTAAAAATTCCAAGGGGTAAGGACCCTGGTACGATACAAAATTTTAAAAAAAAGAAGATTTTCTTGCCTAGAAATTTTGGATCGGGAAATTAAAAGGGGGAAATTTTTCAAAAAAGGGGTTGTAGGTTTTAATTGTTTTGGGAGTAAACATAAGGGCCCGACTGGAAGAGGGTTTTACTTTCCCCCTCCCCCGCCCAGAAATTCGGGGATGTTTAAAAAATTTTAAAAAGCTTTAAGGAGTTTTCCTCATTTAGCCTCACATAAAACCCCCTTGTTTCGGGCCAGGGTTTTTGTAAGGCAAAACAAGTCAATGTGATTTTTCACAAAAACAAGTCCCTTAACTAGGGGAGACTTTTAGAGGGAAAGGGGATCTTTTTTTAAAAAAGGGCCGCATTTTAAATTTTAAATTTTTCCCCCAAATTGGGGGTAAATTTTGATTTTAATTAGATTTTCATGATTTTTCCCCCCCCTTTTGGGAAATTTTTTCTAAAATTTTTTAGAATTTTTTGGGCCCCTGGGCCCGACACTGTCTGGATGGGGGGTAAAGGGTGGGTAAACAGTAGAGAAGCTGCAGAGATGTGTTGTTAAACTACAACTCTGGTTTTTTTAGTTCCTTTTCAAACCCTGGGTTGGGCAGGGTTTTGGGGGAAAATAATAAATGTGGCCAGATCCTTTGAAAGAAAAGCTGCCCCCCATCCCAAAGGGGATGGGATGCCGTCTCTCCCAATCGACCTTTGGTTTTCCCCCCCAAAAAGGATTGGGGGCCCAAATTATTAAAAGTAGCCCAAAAGTTTTTTTTCAGGACAGACCTTTGAAAAAGGGGGGTTTGAATGCGTTGCAGCTTTTAAAAATGTATTTTACTGGTTAGATCAGGGAGGGGGCCAGAGAAAATTCAAATCCGAACATTTTTTTGGCAAAAATTTTACACACCGGGAAACAACACTAATTTTTATTTTGGGCCTTTCCCGATCGGCGAACCCGGGTTTTCCTTTTCCCCCAGCGTTGGGAAAAACAAACTTTCTGTATTTTAACCTTTAAACCTTAGCCAGGGGAGTTTCCCGGTTTTGGATTTGGGTGTTTGCCCCGTTCTGGCCCCCCGGCAAACATTTTTTACTAAGGTTCCCTGGTTTTCCCCTAATGCCGTTTTCGATATGGAGGTTTCAAATTTACCCAGAGGGGGGCTTCTTTTGGGGGGGTGGGGTCACTTAGTGGGGAAAACCGGTTTTGAACCCTGAAAAGGGTTTGGTGGGTGACCCGTTTGGGGAGAATCCACGACTTTTCGCTTTTTTGCGTTTCATTACCCCTTTGCCTGGCCCGCTGTACTGTCCTCCCAAAAATGACAGCTAGTGGGGGGGCCTACTTTAAATTTCCCGGATGTTTAAACAAACCTGAAGCCCGGATTCTAAAATCTGACAAACCCTCGCCTCCAAACTACCCAAAAAAATTTTACAAATTATTAAAATTTCCCTTTTTTACTAAAAAGGGGGCGGGGGGAATAAACTGAAACATCTGACACAGGGAGCGGGGAGAGGAAAAGGGAAAAAGGGGGAGTTGGAAAAAGGGGTCAAAAGGGGGGGAGAGAAAAACAGGGCCCTAGAATGCTAAGCTTTTGGGGGGGGGGGTTTGGGGGGTTGTACTCCCCTTTTCTATCAGTAAATTTCCGGTGGGGGAATGAAATTTTTGCCAGTAGAAAAGGGGCCCGCAAAAGGGTGTTTTTTTTTAAAAAAGTCATTTTGGGGTTACTTTGATACAGGGGTTTTTACAGAGAAAAATAACTTTAATTGTGGGTTTTGGGTTTTCCTTTTGAAAGGCTGCACACTCAGTTTAAACCCCAAAAAGGGGGAAGGGCCCATCCAAAAACAGGAAGATAAATTTTTTCATTTATCAAAAAAAAAATTCTGATTTTAAAAGGTTTTGGGTTTTGACAAAAAAGAAAAATTTTGATTTTTTTGGGTTTAAATATAATGATAGAGATTGTTTCATTCCTTCATTAAACAAAGCCTGGTAAAAACTATTTAAATTTGAAATGTGTTTTATTCTGTTAATTAAGAGCTGATCATTAGATGGAAGTTTTCTTTAAAGGATTAATTTACCCGGAATAAAAACCCAAAATTTACTTTCTTCTTGGGGATTGCTGGTGTTCCCCATCCAATTGTTGCACAACTGAAATCTTTAATCCACCCCAAAAAAATTGTGTTTATTCCTTTCCAGGGATAAATTTCCCTGCTGTTTAAAAACACTTTTATAGAAGTTAGAGGATCAACTTCAGCTTTTTACTCCAGTAAAAGTGTAAAAGTACAATTTTTAAAACTACTCAAAGTATAAAAGTAAAAGTAATGCAGTAAAAACTGTTAAGGGCAGAAGCTTTACTGCACTACCCTATTAAAGGAACATTTTTATACAATAACTTCCTTAGACTTAATTTTCTTTGTTTTATAATTAATGGTAACAGTGTCACATTTAACTTTGCATCATCTTGAGAAACTCTTTATTTCGGTATGTGGTGAGCAACCAGTTGGGCCAGCACCGAGTCAAACCACATTAAGAAATTAATTGTCTGGATGAAACCAATTAACTTGATGGTTTGTATATTTTTAAAATAACAACAGGCCATAATGAGCTTAAATTAAGCTACACTAACAAGTCTATTTTTAAAATGTAAGGGGTAGAAAGTAAAAAGTTGTCTAAAAAAATAATAAAACCAGAAAAGTATAGATAGACATTTCTACTAAAGTAATAAAGTATTAGTAGTTTGTTACTTGACGCCTCTGACCTATGACCTATGCTATTCTAATGAGCCATAAAGTTGTTTTTTTAAATCTGTAATGATGTGCTTCAGTCTGCATAAAACATGTTTTTGGCAGCATTACATCAGGTTGTTAAATGGCTTGGGGGTATGATTTCACACCTCAGTCTCAGAACAGTTTGAACATCAGATCCTGCAGATTAGCCTGCGGTGTCCCAGCATGCATTGGGGTGTGAGAGGGACCCGCATGTAGTGGAAAATAAACAGGACTACCAGGAGAAGCTTCAGCAGGTCACAGCTTGCTAGACTGTAAAAAGCTCCTTCAGATGGTATTGAATTTCTAAGTTAGCTGATTAGGTTGTAACAATAATCATTAATAATGTTAATAATGCTTCAGTTCTGAGAAAATGAACCATATTGTTCTGATGACACATCGAACAGAAACACTTCAGGGAATTGAAATAAAATGGACTGAAGTTATTATTCTCTTTCATTGTGTTCGGCTTCCAGAAAATAAAATAGCAAATTCATAAAAGTTAGGAATTGATTGAGAAACTTACTGTCCTGGAGCCAAATGAAGCATTTGAATTATTGTAATAAAGCTAATAGTGGGTCAGACTTCACAGCAACTCCTGTTGAGTAAAATGTAAAACTTTTATCCTAGTTTTTACTCTCATTATCTCGGCGCTGTTGGCTGGCTTGATTGCTCATTTCATCCACCTGTCTAGCTCTGCCCTCAGCCATCAGTGCCAGATTCTTCCGGAGCCTTTGGTGTAGAGAGATTTCGAGCATTACTATAGTGTTCTGATCCTGTCCTGTTTCTGTATTCCAACTTTTGAGCCTTCCTGCCCCTGTCTGATCTGATGCCTGGCCTGAACTGAGGCAAACATTCAAAAAACAAAGTACACAATACATGGAACCAAAAAACAAAACATGGGAAAACTCACGTTTTGCTGGTTCCTCAGAAAAAGATGAGGAACCAGGAACCATTAGGAACAGGACTAATGAGCTGATTGGGAGCAGGTGTGAACAGATGATTCTAGAAGGGAGCTAGGGAAAAGGAGACCGACACAAGAGGGCAACAGAGGGCTATCTAAGAACTCAAACACATCCAGAAACCACCACAAAATAGGACACAAAATAGTTAAATTAATAAAACTAGAAAAAAAGGAAAACATGGATCAAAGTGAAACTGAACACTCAGAAGAAAACTTAAACAGAACAAAACCGTGACACTTCTTGGCTTCTGCAACTCTGTGGCAGCATCCACTGTGCCTTGTCAGCCAACCGGCTGAAATCATCCTAGTTCTCAGGGCACAGGACTGAACCTTCAAACCAGGTTAGCCCGAATTCTGAGCCTTGACATTTTACACTCCTGATTCACCCACACTCTGCCACGGTGCTTTAATTCCTGCAGTTGATCCACATTAAAGCAACATCACAGAGTCCAAAGTCCTGATCTCTAGGACGCTCCTGCTTTGTTAGTGGAAAAACATTATGGACAACAGTGAGCATCCTTCTTAGAAGTTTTTTTTATACAACAGTCAGAGGCTTCTCCAGATCCAGTGCAAGACAGACCTCTACAGGAGATCCTTCAGCATCAACATCCAAAGATAAAGTATTTTTGAATTGAATGAACACTGTGCTTTCAAGATACAACACTAACACTGTTGTTGTGTCTGAGGTTGTCAGCAAAAAGCTTTACATACCATCTGTGTCATGATTTTCTTAAGAGATCTGACCCACATGTTGTAAACCACTCAGAGAACCAGGGTAAAGGTTTTAACAGGTTTATTGATAAGGTCAGCGGGGTTTGGATTCAGGAAACTCAGTGTGCTGGTGAACCGGAACTGGAAGAGGGAAGGAGAGTATCAGCGGTTAGTTCAGGATCCGTGGGAACTTTGAGCGATGGCTGGCGAGACAGAGAAAACGGGACTCACGTTAGTGGAGAAGACTTTCTTCCCAGAATCCAGTACGTGTAGGTTTATCTAGAGGTAGAGACCTGAGGAGCTATTGAGCAGACTGTCACTAGGAAATCCAGGAGGACTTGAACGGAACTTGTGGAGGTTAATCCCCTGCTCAGTGTGAGACTCAAACAATCCTTCCAGGGGAAGAAGGCCAAACATCCAGCTTGCAGGAAGGCTTCCCAAAACTGGCAAACACTCTGGCATTGAGGTAGTGACAGTCCATCGCTCAAATAGTCCTCCGTAATGAGCCAACCAGCCGCAGGTGTGTGGAAGGACCAACGAGAACAGGGCGCCACCTGGTGGTGGAGGGAGAGAACAACGCAAAAAAACATAACCCACACAAACTTGATTCCTAACAATCTGCTTGTATTTAAATTGCTCCTCACGCTTTCTGTAGCATTTATACCTTTTTTTGTTTTGTTTTAGATTTTGATTCAAATTGACAGGGTTTGATGTGAACAAAGGAGCAGAATAATGAGAAGCTGGATTGAACTGAGGTATCTTATCTTTAATGGTGTCATGGCTTGCCTGCATTTCTTTAAAGGCCAACCGTGAAACGTTTGGCCACTAGGGGCGCCAGGTCTGTTACTTTCACATCTAGCGGCCACAATGGCAGCAACACTGTCTCACTGTTTTATGAATTTCTATTTTATGAATTTCTATATAATAGAAATTCATAAAACAGTATGCAGTATGCATTCTCAGTATGCAGTCAATTCCTCCAGAGTCCTCTCAATCATCTATTTAGTTGATTCAGGTGTGTCTAACCAAAGGCACATTTAAAAGTTGCAGGAAACCGGCCCTCAGGAACTGGAATTGCCCACCCCTGCTGTAGACCGTAAAAAAAGAAGTTGCACTAAATGTTTACAAGTGAGTAATAACTACTAATAGAAGTAGAGGATGCAGTGGGATGTGCTATGCAGTCACACCCTGGCAATGTCCTGAGATCTGCTACTACCTGTAGCCACATGCCTTGTCTGCAGCTATATTTTACCCCTAACACAGCTTCTCTGGTATGTAACCAGTTAATTGCACATGAACTCGTCTAAATGTGTGCATACCTTATTCATGACCCAGGTGGGACAGCTCAAAGGTAAACCAGTACTCCTTTGATAACTCAGGAATGAGGAAATGTTTGCACTGTCACAGAGAGAAAAAGACAGTTGAAAAATTTAGGTATAAATCACATTCCTTTCAAAGGAGAGAATCCAAATCCGCTTTCCTTATTTCTCACAGCAAAGCTTTCCTCATCCATCACTGCTCCTCTGGTTCAGATGAACTGGATGAATTTCCAAGAGGGGATCAGTCAAGGTGACAAGTGTTTACTTTCACACAAAACATAAGGATATTTACTAAAGGCTGTGGCTTGGCTTTGTTGGTGAGTTCTTTTTGTTGTTAAACATTTTCTATACAACCTACAGCAAAGAAACTGACTTTGAAAAATTGGTGAGAGAAGTTTAACCATCTGCAGATGGTTAACGAGACTATGGTGGAGCGGTCACTGGAACAGATCCACTGGCCTGTGTGCAGGTTGGACTGTGGGAGTGGGTTTGCATGGTCTGACTGGCAGCTTCAGCTCATCAAGAACCACCTGGAAGAGCATGAAGAGGAAGGTTCCTGTTCAATGAATTTAATCAATGGACCCCTTTTTCACCATTCTGCTTCATTCTATCTCTATTCTCCCACTCTGCAGAATCTGTTAGTTCAATCTCTAACGTTCTGCTCTCTCTGCTTTTTCTCATAGTAGCTTCATCTGGTCTGTTCCTGTTTGGCTGTGACTCCATCCTGATGAGAAATATCAGCTGTGCTGCTGCCATCAACACCTTTGTTTCTAGATGTTGGAGCTTGGCCTGTTTTCCAGTGTAGTCCTGTTTCTCTGACTGTGACTTACTGGATGTGCTCTCTTCATCCTCTGACATGGGAGCTGGCTCAGAGCTCGTCTGCCTGGCTGTGTGTTTCCTGGACGGGGCCGCCTGTGGAGCTGGTTGACAGTTGCCTTTTGTCTCTATGCTTTTTTTTCTATGTCTGCTTCTGTCTCCTTGAACCCCAGTGGGCCTCAGCAGATGGCCGCTCACACTGAGCCTGGTTCTGCTGGAGGTTTCTTCCTGTTCAAAGGGAGTTTTTCCTCTCCACTGTCGCTACAAGCATGCTTAGTGTGAGGGATTGCTGAAGAGTCAATGAGTCGATGCAATCAGCTGGTTTTCCTTAGATAGAAAACTTTGAATCAATATGACTGGATGATCTGGTGAACTGGAAAGTGACCTGAGATGACGTGATGATAATGATGTGAATTGGAGCTATAGACATAAACTGAATAGAATTGAATGTTTGCTACTCTTCACTTTGTTGCTCACGTAACGCCGCCTTCCTGCATGGTGGTTTATTATAGATAGAATGTGTCTCTTTGTTAGTTTGAGTGTTTTGTTAGTTTGAGATTTGTGATAATCACATTGACTTATGTTGCCTTACAGAAACCTGGCTGCAGCAAGAGGATTATGTGAGCATAAATGAGGCAACTCCTTCAAGCTATTTAAATTTTCACATCCCCAGAACTTCTGGGCGAGGAGGAGGAGTAGCAACAATCTTTCATTCTGAATTACTGATTACTTCAAAGGCAGTTAATACTTACAACTCTTTTGAAAAATTAACCCTTAATTTCCCTCATCCAAATTTCAAAGCAAGAAAACCTCTTCTCTTTGTAACTTTGCGTCGTCCACCAGCTCCCTAATCTGAATTTTTAGATGAGTTTTCAGAGTTCCTTTCTGATTTGGTAGTAAATACTGACAGGGTCATCATAGTGGGAGATTTTAAAGGAAAAAATCAGGTGATATTCAGAATTCAAACTTCTGAAAGTACTTTAAATAAGTAATTTTCATTTAGATAATGATCCATTGATTATTCCTTGCTGAACGGACTTTTCCTTTAACATCTAAGCTGACATTGAAGGTGACGGCTTAAGTGCAGCCTTTAATGCTATAGAAATGATTGGCTTTGGCTGCCAAAGGTCCAAGTCTTAAATGAACCGGACACAACATGTTAGTCAGCATCACTACTTCAAAGCAGGGCTTTAGTGGTTTGTGGCTTTTTCTGCCTTTTTTCATCCCCCAGGCGACCATATGGCAGAACAACACAAAGCTTTAACTCAACCTCCTGTCAATACTCATAGTGTTCACCTCCTGCTTTGAAAGGTGAACAGCAGGACAATCGTGCACGCACGCAAGAACACATGCACAAGCAAGCTCACACATATGACTGCAGACCATGCACCCCCCTTTCTTTATGGCTCCCTCCTCTTTCCTCCCATCCTTTCGTTTTCAGATGGAGCCCTTTCACCAGCAGGCAGCAGCTGCAGGGCTGTTTCTCAGAGGGAGGCGGGTCGACAGCAGGAGAAGTCTTTCAGAGATGCACAGCTGATCTCCCAACACTCGGGGCAAAACATTTATTATGTCACAATGTTAAGCCAGTGCATTTTTGGACCCATCATTATTAGGAAAAAGAAGCATTAAATAGAATAGGAAAGGAGATTGACCATATCAATGTGGTTTTTGCACTCTTTTTTTCTCCCCCAATGTTTACTCTTGATCACTGCTGCATTTTAAGAAATGGAAATGTCATTAGGGTTGTATAAAACGAAATTTTGCTTGGTATACACTTTGTGTATACAAAACAACAATAAAAGTTGTCTAAGTCTAAGTCCAGACTCTAAGCAGGAGTCGCGACAGAGGAGCAGAGCCTCTATGAAGGAGATGTGTCTTGATTTCTGGGTTTGTCTTTGAAAGGTTAATTTCCAGTGTTAGCCCAGCATGTTAGCATCTATTTAATTCAATTACCAAACTAGAATTGTACAGTATAACTAGAGTGATGCAGTGATATTAGTTTTGTTGTCATCAAACCATTAATAACCTGGAGAGAACTATTAACCTTAGTGAAATCTGATAGATGCTAAAATGCATAAAATGATGAAACCCACCACTGCTCGTTATCTACACAGCAAAGTCGGCTGTGATATCGAACAATTGTAGAGAAGAGGCCCTTGATCTGGCTTAGTGGTGATCAAATAATTACCTTATCCTGAACACTAGCAAGACCATGGAGGTCATAGTGAATTACAGTGGGGACAGGAATACTGAGCACAGTCTCCTCTACATAAAGGGGGTGGCGGCTGAACATATGGACAGAAGGTTCACACTAACTTCTCTTACTGTTAGAAGGTTTAAAAGAAACCAAGCTGCTCAACAGACATTTAAAAGAGCAAGCTTGGTCTGAAAGCTCATTTATGGTGCATGAAAACATTAAAGGCCACTATGAGTGAAGCCGATTAGAGAGACAAAATGGGGCAGAGATGCAGAGACATTTAAAAACATAAATAAGGGATTTAAAAGTGTGTCTGGAATTGAACTGAAAGGTAGAGGAAGAATGTTAAAACTGAATTATGCTCTGTTTCTTCCAGTGGCAGCACCTAGAAGTTATTGCATTGTCTAACAATGTTCTACTATAATAAAACTTGAATCCCTCAGGAAATTCAACTCAAAGATTTAAAACATTTTTTAAAAGAGAAAGGTTTATGAGGAGATGCAGTATTTTCTACAATCACATCCAAATGGCAGCGCGTAGTTAAGGGTATGAATATAAACATGGGTCAGTGTACTAACATTTTGAGCAATGCCAGTTGAGTCTAAAATAGCCTATAAAGAGGCACTCCCTTTTAGTGACTCCTAACATTAATGTTAAAATTATCCGATATATTTACCTTATCAGCATTTAACAAAAATCAAACAAGAATTCTTAGAACTGGTGAAAATTGAGAGAAAGAGCCCAGTGGATGAGACAAATCAACAAACAGGAGTATTCTTAGTACTTTGCAATTTTGATCAAATACTCAAAAGAAATATAGCGCTTAGTTGTTCTGAAATTGATTAATAATTTGGGCTGAAATGTGGTTGCAAATCTTACTTCTTGCCCAGTTGATGTTGTCAGCCAGGTTTCTGTAGGACATAATAAATCAACGTAATTATTGCAATCAATCAAAGTATTTGAATATAGAGCTTCAGTGTTCAATAAAACCACATTTGATTTTTTTCTCTGTTCAGAGGAAGTTATGAAAATATTTAATTCTAGTCTTTCTTGTCTTTCAAGTAAAGTCTGGAGATTACGGTATTAAAGTGACTGTCGTTTAATACAAATGCAAAGCATATTTTTTCTTTGTGAACAGATGGAATTATCATTAATGATATTCTTTCACTTTAAACCTAAAGTATATTCTACCTTGACTCTGTGTGTAATTCAAAATCCCAATATAATACTTAATAGTTTGTTATAATATTATTTCAAGGTGTCTGAATACTTTCCTACTGTCAGTATGATCGGTGAAGTCAAAGTCAAACAGAGGAGGCTGATTAATGTCGGTGCTGTCTGGTCATGCCCAAGTGAGCGCAGGCTAGAAGCTTGCTTTTGTTTTTGCTGTCAAACACTGGAAACGTAGTGAGGTCAGGGAGGGGAATGGTATTTCAGCTCCAGGAGTTTTTCAATTCCCTGGAAACAAATCTGTCTTTCATTTCCAGCACAAGATTGAGAAATTAGATATTAATATACATGTATTAGAAGATACATAAACTTATTTCTTCTCACAGTTTGACCTCAAACCAGTGTAATCTTTTCCATTTGTGGAATATGAGTCACCTGTATGTAATTTAAGGCTCTTCAAACACACCAGAAGGATGTTTTGAAATAATCTAAATAAATCAGTTAAGATATCAGAAAGAGAATGTTGAAACGTCAGGCTACAGCTCTCACAGCAATCCCTCACACTAAGCATACTTGTAGCGACAGTGGAGAGGAAAAACTCCCTTTGAACAGGAAGAAACCTCCAGCAGAACCAGCACCAGGCTCGGAGATCGTCTGCCTGGCTGTGTGTTTCCTGGATGGGGCTGCCTTTTACAGTTGCCTTTTGTATCTATGCTTCTGTCTCCTTGAACCCCAGTCAGCCTCAGCAGATGGCCGCTCACACTGAGCCTGGTTCTGCTGGAGGTTTCTTTCTGTTAAAGGGAGTTTTTCCTCGCCACTGTTGCTACAAGCATGCTTAGTGTGAGGGATTGCTGAAGAGTCAATGAGTCGATGCAATCAGCTGGTTTTCCTTAGATAGAAAACTTTGAATCAATCTGACTGGATGATCTGGTGAACTGGAAAGTGACCTGAGATGACATGATGTGAATTGGTGCTATAGAAATAAACTGAATAGAATTAAAGAAATTAAGTTCAAACATGCTTTGTTTGGCAAACAGGGAAATAGCAATCTATATACATCTATGATAAGTTCACCTGGAGTTGTGCATGAAGGTGAGGCAGCAGGAGTCAGGTTACTGTTTTATTGTTATTGGTAGAGTACAGGACGTGAGTCAGAAAGGTGCAAACAAAAACCTTCATTGTTTATGGCTGACTGTTGGATCCATAGGACAGGTGCATTAAAAACCTCCTCAGATCCTGTAAAACTGTCAGGAATGAGTCAGTGCTCTGCCAGGCCTCATTGTCTTATTCTACCTCCGGGCTTCTCGGTTTTCTGGGGTCGCACTGATATTTGACCACTTTGGTAACAGGGATCAAACAAGCACTTGTAACTGCATCTATGAACACATTCTAGGCAGAGCGGTTTAGGGCGCAGGAAAAGGGTGGAGCCGCAGGGATCGATCTGAACCCGAAGAGCCGCAGGAGGAAATGGAAGGAGATGCGCTCTGAATCTGCGGTTTCTCCACCGCTGCAGGATGCCTTTAGGGTCTCAATTTTCCTTCGCATCTCCCGCTTTGCTCTCAGGTTTAATCAGTGAAGGTAAAGTGCTGTCATGAGGCGCACCGCTCTGGCATTTCCGCGCGTGCAGCCCTCACCGCGAGCTGCGCGTAAAAGCGAGTGGCTCCGCAGCGCCCTGGCGCATCATCACTGCCCCGATCCAGGAGCCGAAAACGAAATAGTGGTCCTCGCCACTGGGATGGATCAGTACCTGCAGGAGGTCTTCCACCACCTGGCTCACCCCAACCAGGAGGATACTGTGTCCGCGGAGGACTTCAAGGCTCTTTGCGCTGTGCTGGGACTTCCCGCAGAGACAAGGACGCCCAAAGCAGAGGATGGAAGCGGAGATGGTGGAGTAGACCTGCAACAGGAAGACTTTTTGGACGTTTGCGCAAGTTTACCCCACCAGCTGTCCTTTAAAGACTTTCACTCGCGGCTCTGTGGGTATTTCCGTGTGCGCAGTGCGCCCGCAGTCAGCGGAGACTGCGTCTGGCGTCTGCCGGTGTCTGAGGACACGGAGCTGGTGGAGAGACAGATCCGACTCCGCTGGCCCCGCGTCCGGCAGAGGAAGTGTGTTAGTTTCGATTTGAGCAGAGATCAGACTGGAACCAGGAGCAAATCCACCAAAAAGGGAACCATGGAGGACCTCCGAGACCAAGGTAACAGGATGGTTGATCCTTTTAGGGTTCATGTTCTATATGTCCAACTATAGAGACTTAAATAATGAAATGATCTGAAACTTTGGATTCACCTTCATTGATTTATTGCTCTGTAAAACATAACAGACCTCATGCTGCAGTTTGAGGCCATTTAGGGTCTGTTTCCACCAGCTTAGCAAATCCACAAATTTAATGTCTATTATTTTAATAGCCAGGGGCAGATTTAGGAAATGTGGGACCCTAGGCAAAGACAGGCAGGGGGCCCCTCTGAATGGAGAAGACAACACATAGAACAGATCCATTCTACAGATAGAGAAATGTTAATAGAATAGACATCCATTATCTGTTCTAGGTTGTGTCCCTCTCTTCTTGTCCCTTTTCTTCTTGTTTTCCTCTCTATGTTTTGTACTCAGCTGACTTTTCATGCTGTCTCTAAAGGAATGAAAGATTTTTTCCAAGCACTAAGCTCACTTAGCTGATTGCTCCTTCCTGTGTTTCCAAAAAGGCCAAAGTAAATAACCCAGTCCTTCTTTTCACTGTAGACAAGCCATGATCTGCTTCTCTGTTCTCCATTTTTCATTTGGATGAAATAATAGCTGCATGAATCATGACAGCAGACAAGATAGAGGAGAGCAGGAGGCGGGGTTACCAATCTACTTGCTCTGGAGAGCAGAGTTCGCTGCTTTTAGATGTTGTCTCCAAAGTCTCCAGTAGCAGAAAAAAGTCTCTAGATTTGGCGCTAGGAGCTTTTTAGAAATCAAAGTGCTAGAGGGGTCTGAAAAGTGGCTAAATATAGCGACTAAAGCGCTAAGTTGGCAACACTGCTCTTTGCATGGTTTGTTTTCAAATGGTTTGCTGCTGTCTGTTTGGACCTTTCTGAACATGTGCAGCAAATGGACTGATCCAATATGGTGGACACTGAAGGGGGGGCTGAGACACACTTAATATTATCAGCGTTCTGATGGCATTTTAAAAACATAATTAATGTGCACAAATAAGGAACAGATGTATTAACCATACATGGAAACAGAGTTTTAGTGAAATCAATGTATGAAATAAGATAAAAAATTTTCTCACTATAGCTGGTAAAAGTTGAGAAATTATAAACAAGAGTTATCAAGTTCCAGCTTTGCTAAAATATATTTCTAAACAAATATAATGTTTATTTGATGGTTCTGGTTTGGGTTTCTTTCTTTTCTCCTTTTTAATGCCGGTTGGATCCTGGAAGAACCTTCTGGATCTGTCATGATCGGCAGGATTTCTAGCCCAGATGCAGAACACACACACAGAGGCAGAGGAAAAGTCCAAAGGTTTATTGAGTTCAGAACAGGGATCTTCCTGGAAAGCAGAGAGGACAAAACAGGTTAGGTTCAGGTTCCAGGGAAGTCAGGGAATCAGACAGGCAGGCTGGCTCGGGCTTGCCAAACCACAACAGGGTCAAAACAATCCGGCTCAGAGTGAAGTTCTCTTCCAGCTTATGTAGGAACCTTAATGAGCTGATGGGGAACAGATGAGCACAAGCTCTCAGGAGAGGATCTACGGCGCCCTCTGGTGGGCAAGCCTCTAGATCCTGACAGACAGCAGAACCCCTCAGAAAGGGATCCACGTCGCCCTCTGGAGGGCAAACCTCTGGATCCCAACAGGATCATTACTGCCACCTACTGTTAAGGAGGTTAATCAGTAGTTGTAGATAATGTACCTGTAAATGTTTATTCATATTTATAAATTTGTGATACATACTCGCACATTTGTAATTCTTACTCGTAAATATATACAATTCTCAGTTGCACATTTATTAATGGTACTCATAAATCTCTGATTTGTTCTCCTAAACCTGTAATTCATCTTGTAAGTTTGTCATTCGTACTCATAGTTTTGATAAGTTGTAACTCTAACTCTTATTCTCACAGATGGAGCCTCTGATGTAATATTTCTGAAGGGGTTTATGCACTGAGCCTGGTTCTGGTTCTGCTGGATGTTTCTTCCTGTTCAAAGGGAGTTTTTCCTCTCCACTGTCGCTACAAGCATGCTTAGTGTGAAGGATTGCTGAAGAGTCAATGAGTCGATGCAATCAGCTGGTTTTCCTTAGATAGAAAACTTTAAATCAATCTGACTGGATGATCTGGTGAACTGTAAAGTGACCTGAGATGACATGATGTGAATTGGAGCTATAGAAATAAACTGAATAGAATTGTCATGATGTTACAAAGTTCAGACCCAAATGCAGAAAACCAAACAGAGAGACCAGGGAAAAGGTTTAACAGGTTTTATTGAAGAAGTTAAACAGAGGGAGAAGTGTTGCTCTGAACACTGCTCATCCGGAACTGTAAAGTGAGGAGAAGACACAGCGGTTAGTTCAGGCTCAGTGGGGAATTTGACTCGTGAACTTGGAGAAGAGGATTTGGTTGCCAACTCACGTTTTCAGAGAAGTTGTTGGATCCTTAACTCCTGTCTATGTGCTGTGGTTCCAGTGTTTGTCTGATTGGGCGGAGGGCGAAACAGGGTTTACCCAGAATTAGGTTGTTAGTTGGTGAACGGAGAAGCTGACTGCCACTCAGATTTCCTGCGGTACTCGAACGTCTCGTAGTGGAGATGAATCCCTTTCTCAGTGAGAAGCTCAAACAATCTCTTGGGGAAAGTGGATCCAAACCTCCTGTTTGAACCCCAGCTCAGTTTGAAGCTCAGTTGATCCTTACAGGGAGAGAAGGTCAGAGAAATCCAGTTTGCAGGATGACTTCCTGCCGAGAGGCAAAGACAAAAAACAAAGTTAAACTCAGGTTGACAAGAACTCAGTTTGACTAAGCAAAACTCAGCTTGGCTAGAGTACCCAAAACTGGGAAACACTCTGGTGTCGAGGTAGTGGCAGTCAGCAGCTTAAGAGCACTCCGTTTAACGAGGAAATCAACAGCAGGTGTGTGAGGAGGAGAATCAGAACCAGGCGCCTCCTGGTGGAGGAAGGGAGACAAACACAGAAACACAAACACACAGACAGGAGTCCTGACAAGAATTGAGTTGACAAGAGGAACAAACACTTGTTTGTTGATTTAAATCAACAAATTCAGACACTTATCACATATTTTTATTGACAGTTACCTTACACCATGTAAGAGCACTTTGTTTTTTTGTCTTCCTTCTTAGGGCTAATTTTTGGGGAGTGGAGAAGTGATGTTTGTATTGACATGTTCTCCCCTCAGAGTTGTTCATCTCTGGTGCTCCTCTGTAGTTGCCATAGTTACCATTGACCTCTTTTATTAGATTTGTGGTTCAACTGTGCTCTTTCAGCTCTATGTTGTGGTCTATTGTGGCTTTTATGATCTTCAAAGCTTTTTCTCCATGATGCAGTTTGTTTACTAATGTTCTCTTGCAATTCTCAGTTGTATTTATCATTATAAAGCAACCCTTCTGTTTCATAGAACTGCAGTTATTGCCATAACTTCATTGAGAAAGAGTTTCTTAATCTCATTGGGACCATGCTGGATTAATGAAAGTTAAATAGAAAAAAATACATGCTAGTCAGAGGTTGAAACCTGACAGAATCAGCTTTAGAGAGCGACTGGTTTTAGTGACTGTTGCATCTGCACCAGCCTGTATTTACACAGGATGCATTTAACTTCTAATTCCCTGTAATTTCATTGCTTCAGCAGCATTCATGTGGCAAAGCCGTGAAAGGTATTGGTTATAAGCAGCGGTTCCTTCCATCTTGTTCTCCTCCCTTTAAATGTTGGTTCATTTACTGCTTGTTCTTTCATAAACTGAACAAGAATCTAAGGAGGTTCCTTGCAGGAGCAGAAGCTTTAATCCTCCCAGGGTGGTTGGATTAAAGGAAGCAAGGCTTCAAGGTCATCAGAAAGGACTAATCCAGTCACCCACAGCATTTATAGGCCGGGATGCTGCATTAACCAGTTCTGTTACTGTGAAAACCTTAGAAATGTAAGAGACACAGATAGGAATTAAAGATAAAATAAAGATGTGATGCTTTGGTGAGTTATTGCATTTCTTATGCTTATGTATCCTATACAAATAAGCCAGTTTATAACTTTTAGCTCTACAGCAGAATATAAATGCAAACTTAAATAATGTCAAGAAACCCGGACAGATGGACCCAGTATTCAAGGAGAGACAGTCAGTAGGAAAGTTCAAAAAGTTTATTAAATAAAGAAAACACAGTGGAGCTGTGACTGGTGGACACTGCAGGAGGGGGGCGGGGCACCGCCCAATCACAGACATTCTGGTTTAACAGTCCAGTCCAGGAATGTCCCCAGTGCTGCAGCTCTAAAGGTCCTTCAGGAAGCCGATCCTGGTCAGGGATTCAGAACAGACAGGAACAGACAGAACAGGATCCAGATCAGGCTGGAACAGACAGGTGGCAGGATCCAGGCTTCCAGGCATCATAGAGCTCCCAGGTGGGTTCAGAGTCTGACTAGGACCGCAAGCATGACCAGGTGGTCACGCACAGGAGCAGACAGGATCAGGTGCAGATGAGCAGGCTCAGTGGAAGAGGGTAGCCGAGACCGGACGTGGAACCGGAACTTGATGCAGGACCCTTAAACCAGGCTTACTGGGATAAAAACTGAACCTCCCCACAAATAGAGCCAAAAACCCAGAGGACTCAGCAGGGGAGGAACAGTGGACGAGCAGGAGACGAGACAGACACTAAACCCTCTATGCACTGGCCACCAGGATCCAGGATGCATGAACCTTGGAATAAAACAGACTGAACAGAACGACTAACTGAAAACAAATAATTATGATCTGGAGCCGAATGCACAGGCTGAACAGAATATAAACCAAAAGAAACAGGTGAGGGGAATAAATGATAATTGAGGCAGGGAGGGAAAACGACAGGTGAAAGAAATAACCAATTAAGGGAGAGCAAACAGGCCAGATCATGACAAATAAAAAAGAAATGAATTAGGAAATGTTCTTTTTGAGGTTTTGACTATTTGGGATCTTGTTGTTCAACATGGATTGATTGATGATTCATTTATGGAGGAATTTTCCTGGTAAAATTAGAACGCACATTTTTCATTTTTTTGGATAAACAGGATAGGGGTTGGGGGGTGATTTTGGCCCTGGTGGCCAGCTGGATCGTGGGTCCTGTCACCGGTCCCTGGCCCCCGGGCTATGGTGGTGCGACCGGTGGGGGCCCCCCTCTCTGTGGGGGCCCCCCTCTCTGTGGGGGCTCTCGTGGAACAGGGGCGCCTATTGGAGTCAGCGGGGGAGCTGGCTCTCTGGGAGTGCAGTAAGCCTCCCAGTCCTTTGCTCCCCAACCCCGAAATCCTCCCTCTGCCTGCTCCATCAAACTGCCACACATGTTGGCTTTTGGGGAGGGGGTTGTTACTGGAGGGCCCCACCTTCTGATGATGTCCCCCACCCCAATTCTATTTTCCATTTTAGACACTTTAATCTACAACATTTTCACAACACACATCTATGTAAGGCATTGTCTGGGGGGTGGGGACACTGGGGGTGGGGGGGCTTATTTCATGGGCCTCACCACTGTCGGCTCCCCCCATCCCTCGTCTGGTGCCGGGTGGGGGGCCGGTGGGGCCCCTCCCCCCATCCGGATTTTAAGTTCACCTATTGGGTCAACCATTGACAGCCAGCCACCCCGAAGTGGATCTGGTAAAGGGCCCCAGGGGCGCCCTACTCCCAGCGGGATCCCCAGCTTGGGCCCAGGGGGGCCAGGCCCCGTGGAGCAGCCCAAAGGATTAAGCCAGTAGCCACCCAGGCATCCATTATTCCTGGCGGCTACTCCGCAGGGCCTGACCACCCGGGGCCCGGCCGGGGCTCCCGTGGTGGTAGGGGCACCCCTGGGGCCTCGGGTCCCTGGGGCCAATGGCCGGTTCCACTTCGGGGTGGCTGGCTGCTGGCGGAGCCTGCGGACTCATCCCCGCATCAAAATTTGTCAGGCTTTTTTTGACATCAAGACAATTATTCTTATTGCCACATTGCCAGACAGGACACTGTAAAAAAAAATAAAATAATAAAATAAAATATATATATATATATATATATATATATATATATATATATATATTGATTCTGTTCATGGTGGAGAATCCTGCTTCACAGCAGCAGGTTGAGCCAAACATCCTCTAAATGTTCAGGGTCATCTTTGAGCACGCCATTTCACTTTTCTTTCACCAGTTCACCACAGTTCTTCCAGCAGTCCACACTTTCTCTGCTCTCTTTTTCTCATGGTCTTCTCCTTCTTTCCCATCGCCCGGCTTGCCACAGGTTTGCCTGCTGTGTCTAAAAGTAGCAGCAGCAGCAACCCAGACTGACAGCTCATTGGCTCATTTGGATCACGTGCAGCCTGGAGCCGGACGCTCCCCAGGGCTTTACCGTATTAACAGGAGAAGCGGCGCAAGTGAAATTAGACACTGCCGTTGGACAACATGCGGTAATTTGTAAATATTTCAAATTAGGTTGGGTCCAGATTAGCCAGCAGGTGGATCCGGATCCGGACCTAATCCCTGACCTCTGATGTATCATATTAAGAAATGTAGTCAGCGCATTAGTTTGGGTATTTGAATTTTTAAGGTACCTGCATGAAATGTCTCTTAGTGGCAATATTTGGTAGAAAAGACTAAATACCAATAAGAAGGACAGATCTCCAGTCAATCACAGGGCAACACAGAGACAAACAACCATTCACACACACCTAAGGAGGATTTAGAGAAGCCAGTTAACCTAACATTCATGTTTTTGGAATGTGGGAGGAAGCCGGAGTACCCAGAGAGAACCCACGCATGCTCAGGGAGAACATGCTAACTCCATGCAGAAAGACCCCGGGCCCAGACTAAACAATTCTTTTGGGAATTCTGATGTCATGAGATTTCCACTCCTCACAGAAAGTTTGAATTGAACCTTATCTTTTCCAGATGAGGTGGCTGCTCTCAGAGAGCTGGTTGAGGACCTCCGCTCTGCTCTGCAGGGGAGCGATGCTCGCTGTCTGGCCCTTGAAGTGGCCCTCAGACAGGAGAGGAGCCAGACGCTCACTGCCCCCTTTACCCACAGCGCCTCTGTTTCCACTCCTAAACCCTCAGGGAGCCTAATGCGGGCAAAGCTGGTGCCAACTGACAGACTTAAACATCAGCCTGGGGTTCAACGGGAAGACGGAACAAGGAGCGGACAGAGGAGGTGGGATATCAGGGACCCCATACTGAGGGAGCTAAAGCTGATTCGATCCTCACGGGATGGGCAGCTAGAGGAGGCCATCAAATTCAATGAGCGCTTGGAGGAAGAGCTGCAATGGGCTTATCAGGAGGTGCGCAAGCTGCAGGGGGTGGAGTCCTCCCTGAGGAAGGAGAACAACCAGATCAGGTGCTGCATATAACCTTTAATTGAACAAAAGTTTGTTTTTATTTATTTCAATGAAACGTTTTGATAATCTTTGCTAACAGGAGGCGGGCAGAGGAAGCTAGAGAGGCTCTGAGTTTGGGGCTGCAGAGGGTCCGGCTGATTCAGGAGCAGGCCCAGTCTGTGCCGCGGCTCCAGTCCAAAATCAGCAAGCTAGAGAGCGAGCTGCTCCGGTACAGGTACAAAGGCTGGGTGTGGTTTGGAGGATCCAGTTACACATCATTTCCCTTTGTCCTTTACTGACATGTACAGCGCCTCGCTACAGTAGCCAGAGATTAGATCCATTGCTTACAACTCAAAAACTTAGATAAGGCAAAATAGTGCAAAAGTGTTAAGAGATGGGAATCTGAAACATTAACAGATAAATGGTCGCAGAGAATTGCGGCCTAAGAATTGTGTCTCAATAAAAACAAGGTATTTTGTACACTATACGTAAAGGTAGACCCGCCCTCTCCACTTAACAGAAAAAAAATAAATGCACAACCCTGTACCCGCTTCCCTGAGGGAACCCCTACTGAACGTGTTTGAGGGCGCGCACTAGCCCATATCTCATTGAGGAGGTGCGGGATACATCTCACCCATATTGATAAATAAAAACTTCCCCTGCGAATAAGACTACTGGTGCATTAAAAAAAACTAAAACATGACATGCTTGTGTGTTCCTGTCAGACCCATGAAGTAGCCCTGAATTGCCACGTAGTCCAACTGAAATAGATCTGGGGTCTGTCTCTGTTGGTGCTACACTGCTCCCTGCAGATGCGTTGGATGTCTTTAATCCACATTCTGAGCTGTATCTGTAGCTATGCTGCTAGAGGCTTAGTCTGACGGAGGACATGTTGGTCAGTTTTCCTCTCACTGTTACATTCTCTTTTTCAGGATTGCAGTTGTTTACACTCCCTTGTTTATACCATTTGAGCTGTTAAAAAACTGCAATAGCCACCATTCGACCACTTAAATCAGGATTAAGACCTAGTTTATAACAAATACTGCTGATATGTTTTTTTTTTTTAAACAAACTAAAAGGCGACAGTGCTAAATAAACCTGCATCTTGTTTCATAAATGCTTGTCATCTCATCTCATTCTCCAGCAGAACTGGCTGCACATGCCTCTCTGTCGCCGCAGGTCGATTATCTCAACCTGAGGAATTATTTGGTAAAATGGGTGAAATACTGGGGATTATTACACTGTACAGTAAAGGATTTCACATATTGAAATCCAGTTGATCTCTTTTCAGATGCTGAATGTCTGCAGAGGGCAGTAGAGGGGAGAGCTGCCTCTGATGAAGAGGAAGATGACAGGGCTCTGAAGAAGAAAGAACAGAGTTTCTCCTTAGAGGAGAAGAGGAACCTTTCACACAACCATGGCTGTGGTGACGGGTGAGTCAACAGTTACCATGACAGATTACTTGTCTTAAAGTTGTGCAAAAAGAATAGAGAAGCACCGATCTGGGGATATTCCAAACCATTTATATATGTGTAAGAAAATTAAAAGATTAAATCATTAAAGGGAATTACGAACACCTAATCAACCTTATGCACTGAGATCTAACAGGACAAGTGCAGGTTGAAGAGAATTACTCCCTTAAGATATAATTTCATAACAATAGATTTCTCATATCTAAATTGTTGGTGGCATTTAGCGAAACAATTCCTTAAATCATTTGAAATGTCACCTTTCTTATTCTAGATGTCAGAGTGACGTCCACCAGCCTCCGTCTCAGAGCTCCTCAGAGCAGGAAAAGCAAACCAGCACATCTGCAGATGCCAGAGCGTGCTGCAGCTGGACTGAACCAAAGCAAGGGAGGAAAAATGGATGTGGAGCCTTCACAACGGTAAAGGTGAGTGAAAAAGTTTAGTTTTATTAATTAGGGAAAGCTTAAACGTGATAGAAAATCATGGGGGGGGGGGGGGGGGGGGGGGAATTATTATATTATTATATTTCAATGTGTTTTAACCTTTTGTATTTTCTTTAATTTAATCCAAAACTGGAAAGCATCTTACTAGTAATTTTTCTTTTTCGGTAAATAGGAAGACAGTTTTCAAAAAAGAGTTTATAGTAATATTGTTTATTGAACAGCTTAAAACAAAAATCACAAATCTTATTTTTAATGTCATCTTTTCATAAATGTATGTCTTTGACCGCTGAGCACCTTTACATTGAGACTTTTTTGCCCACTTAACAGGAAGTCTGCAAAGCACTGGATTGCTGTTTGTTTTTTAGGCGTCATGCTTGTAGTTTACAGCATAAAAATCCCCAAAACCTTGATTTAAAAATTCACTTTGACTCTCTAAGTCTAAAATCTTTATTTCAACCCTGGCTTTCGCTCCATAAAGGTGAAATTTCTGAGATGCAGGACTATAAGCTGCCATGTTACCAGTAGGAGTGTGGAAAAAATCGATTTGGTAATATATCGTGATATTCGGCTGCCCAATATGATATCAATCTTTCAGCTCCTAATATCAATTTTCATAAGAATAAAAAACAAAAAAAAAAACAAAGCATTTCACCGAAAACAATGAGGGGAAAATGGAGTACCTTTGCACCATCACTCTGGTAGATGGCGCTGTGGAGCAGGTCACCATCTCTGACTCAAACCCCAAACAATATGGATTCTGATGAACATATACGGCACTTACCTTTCATTTTGAGACCTGGGTAAAATATCGCATTACATAGTGATATCGCAATATTGTGATAATATGAATAGTGACCCAAGTACTACGACACGTATCGTATCACAACACCCATCGCAATACAAGCTAGCAGAACCTTAGATGTGGATATTCATGGTTGCCAAGGGTAACTTGTTCTCTTGATGGACGGTGGGTTTGACGAGTGTCCATGTTTTGGTAGGTTTACAGCTTGGTCCCATTATTTTGGATTTTAGATAATGGATTGAACGGTGTCCTCTGAACTGCCACTCTGGGTCCCTGAGCAAGACCCTTAACCCCACACTGCTCGCCAGGAGCCGCACAATGGCAGCCCACTGCTCCCCAAGGGGAGGGGTTTAATGCAGAGGTAAATTTCTCCAATATTAGTTCAATAAAGTTCAATGAAAAAGAAAAAATTATAAAATTATTGTATTACTTAGCACTGCTGCAGATCTCTCTACAACTTCATTGCTAAATGTGCAACATTTGAACAGGAAGAAACCTCCAGCAGAACCAGGCTCAGTGTGAGCGGCCATCTGCTGAGGCCCACTGGGGTTCAAGGAGACAGAAGCAGACATAGAAAAAGAAGCATAGATACAAAAGGCAATTGTCAACCAGCTCCACATGCGGCCCCGTCCAGGAAACACACAGCCAGGCAGACGAGCTCCGAGCCAGCTCCCATGTCAGAGGTTGAAGAGAGCACATCCAGTTAGTCACAGTCAGAGAAACAGGACTACACTGGAAAACAGGCTTCATGATGCTTTTTTTATGCTAACATTCCATATGGAGTCCTATGAAAATATGCTGCTACAGATGAAATGTGACAAAAAGTTGAAAAGGCTCTGGCCAAGGCGATGGACTCTGTTTTCCCCAACATCATAGGTTCGGAAAGACATGAGAGGTTTTAGTACAGAGCTTACCAAAAACAGGCCTACCTTAGTGCACATGCAGAGATTTAAAGGTGTGTCTGGATGCAAAGGTAAACCTCGAAAACTATCAAGGACTATTAGTGTTTGTTTGGTTGATCATGATCAGGGTTGCAAAATATTAGGAAAACATATTATTTCCAAAGCTATTGCTGAGCTTTGCAGTTAAAAAATTATAGCAATTAACTTGAACTTGCTGTCAGCTTTAGAATCACGAGCACCAGAAAACAGCCACTGTTATTGTAGGTATGAAGGGAAATGGAAATGTGCCCAACGGGGCAAAGGTATTTTTGGTGTTAAAAATTCACATCCATGGTATTTAACATGTCAAGTGCCTCACACATGGCAAACATTTAAATATTAGTCAGTCCGTGTTCTTCATATAAGTGATTTGAGCAGCTAAGGCAGAAAATTTGCCAATTGAAAAAGATTATTTATGATTAGAATAAGATAAAAGAACCAGATAATTTTATTTGGGTCTTTTCGGGCTCTGCCTTCAACCATTAACTTTGACTTTGAATTATTTAGCTTTTACAATATGGAGTTTAAAATATGAAACAACTTAAAATTGATGATATAACAGGACATTGTTTGGGATAGAGAAAGTGGAGAAAGTTTGTTTTACTTTGGTTACATGAACAGAGTTTGTCTCCCCAGAGGCCGGATGAGGAGGCCGAGAAGACACGTCTGTCTTTGCTAGAGGACAAACTGACAGATTCACTCAGCCTGCTGCTGCAGCTCCGTAATAAGGTACCTAAACCAACGGCCGCTGACCTGGGGGGGTGAGATGCAGGGGAGGATTTACCGTGGTGTCCACCATATTGGATCAGTCCATTTGCTGCACATGTTCAGAAAGGTCCAAACTGACAGCAGCAAACCATTTGAAAACAAACCATGCAAAGAGCAGTGTTGCCAACTTAGCGCTTTAGTCGCCTTTAATGTGGAGGTTAGAAAAGTGAGGTTTTTATGTCATACAATTTTAAGCCTGTTTTTACAGAGAAAAATGTAAATAATCTTCAGTATGGAGCAGATGGGATGAAAACACACAGTCCCACCGGGGGAGACGTGGCTCTCACACAGAGCCATCTGATGTTTGACCTGCTGGTACACTTCCTGTCTCTTCCCACCGTGTCTCTGCACATCAGAGTCTTTGAGTGCTTCTCAGTTGAAACAGATAAAACAAGAATGATGCTAAACTTTTAGTCAGTGTGCAGAAAGCTGTTCTGATTGACCAGCCTCCTCCATCTTTCTTTAGAATGTGTCACGAAGGGTCCTGGAGAAGATGGTGTTGGACAGCCTTGACGTGTGCCGTAGAGGAGAAGCTGGTAGTCTGCTCTGTCCTACATTTTCTTCATGCTCTGGCTTTGCATCTTTATTAAACCGTTTTGTTTTGCTGTGTAGCTCCACCTCCTCACATGCAGGCCGCTGACGCCCTCAGCATCCACCTGACCTCCAGTGACCTTACCAAAAGCAGAGGGCCGGAGGACAGGGGAGAAGGCCACAGTGGGAAGAAACATCTGCTTCCACCTTCAGGGTGTCAAACTAGCAACTCTCTGCTCATCTCTGGTTAAAAAGCTCATCTCTGTTACAGCTGTTTAAGTAAATCCATTATTAGCTGTTTTACCATTTACCCTTTGATATACACATTTATTTAATTTAAATTGTACTTCCATTTAGCACTTGTGTGGACCTATAAAAAAATAATGTGTATTGTTGTCTAGTCATGTTTTGGGTTGCAGAACATCAGAATAACCTACCTCAATAATTTGCTGCTCAGTCAATAAAAGCATCTTTTCATAAAAGTGTGTTGAAATGTTTCTGATGGATCAAAGTCAGACGTCAGGTAGTAGATATTTGTTTTTATGTTTATTGATCATTTCGTAAAGGAAAGCTCTGTGTTTCCAGCTTGAGGCTTTCTCTCTCTGCGGTTCTCATCCTGAGAAGAGATCAGTTTGGACAAACTCTTTAAATAACACCTCATCATTTATATGTATTAAACCAGGAGATATGATGACAGATTTAGGCAGAAATTGTAGATCGGAGAAAACAAAACATGCAAAGAGCAGTGTTGCTAACTTAGCGCTTTAGTCGCTATACAGGTGCTGGTCATAAAATTGGAATATCATGAAAAAGTAGATTGATTTCAGTAATTCCATTTAAAAAGTGAAACTTGTATATTATATTCATACATTACATACAAACTCATATATTTCAGATGTTTATTTTGTTTAATTTTGATGATTACAAATGACAACAAATGAAAATCTCAAATTCATCATATCAGAAAATTAGAATATTGTGAAAAGGTTCAAAATTGATGGCCCCTGGTGCCACACTCTAATCAGCTAATTAACTCAAACCACCTGCAAAAGCCTTTAAATGGTCTTTCAGTCTAGTTCTATAGGCTACACAATAATGGGGAAGACTGCTGACTTGACAGTTGTCCAAAAGACGACCATCGACACCTTGCACAAGGAGGGCAAGACACAAAAGGTCATCGCTAAAGAGGCTGGCTGTTCACAGAGCTCAGTGTCCAAGCACATTAATAGAGAGGCGAAGGGAAGGAAAAGATGTGGTCGAAAAAAGTGTACAAGCAAGAGAGATAACCGCACCCTGGAGAGGATTGTGAAACAAAACCCATTCAAAAATGTGGGGGAGATTCACAAAGAGTGGACTGCAGCTGGAGTGAGTGCTTCAAGAACCACCACACACAGACGTATGAAAGACATGGGTTTCTGCTGTCGCATTCCTTGTGTCAAGCCACTCTTGAACCACAGACAGCGTCAGAAGCGTCTTGCCTGGGCTAAAGAGAAACAGGACTGGACTGCTGGTGAGTGGTCCAAAGTCATGTTCTCTGATGAAAGTAAATTTTGCATTTCCTTTGGAAATCAAGGTCCCAGAGTCTGGAGGAAAAGAAGAGAGGCACTTCATCCACGTTGCTTGAAGTCCAGTGTAAAGTTTCCACAGTCAGTGATGGTTTGGGGTGCCATGTCATCTGCTGGTGTTGGTCCATTGTGTTTTCTGAGGTCCAGGGTCAACGCAGCCACATACCAGGAAGTTTTAGAGCACTTCATGCTTCCTGCAGTTGACCAACTTTTTGGAGATGCAGATTTCATTTTCCAACAGGACTTGGCACCTGCACACAGTGCCAAAGCTACCAGTACCTGGTTGAAGGACCATGGTATCCCTGTTCTTAATTGGCCAGCAAACTCTCCTGACCTTAACCCCATAGAAAATCTATGGGGTATTGTGAAGAAGAAGATGCAATACACCAGACCCAACAATTCAGAAGAGCTAAAAGCCACTATTAGAGCAACCTGGGCTATCATAACACCTGAGCAGTGCCACAGACTGATCGACTCCATGCCACGCCGCATTGCTGCAGTAATACAGGCCAAAGGAGGCCCAACTAAATACTGAGTGCTGTACATGCTCATACTTTTCATGTTCATACTTTTCAGTTGGCCAACATTTCTATAAATCCTTTGTTTTTATTGGTCTTCAGTAATATTCTAATTTTCTGATATGATGAATTTGAGATTTTCATTTGTTGTCATTTGTAATCATCAAAATTAAACAAAATAAACATCTGAAATATATGAGTTTGTATGTAATGTATGAATATAATATACAAGTTTCACTTTTTAAATGGAATTACTGAAATCAATCTACTTTTTCATGATATTCCAATTTTATGACCAGCACCTGTATAGCGACTAAAGCGCTAAGTTAGCAACACTGCTCTTTGCATGTTTTGTTTTCTCCGATCTACAATTTCTGCCTAAATCTGTCATCATATCTCCTGGTTTAATACATATAAATGATGAGGTGTTATTTAAAGAGTTTGTCCAAACTGATCTCTTCTCAGGATGAGAACCGCAGAGAGAGAAAGCCTCAAGCTGGAAACACAGAGCTTTCCTTTACGAAATGGTCAATAAACATAAAAACAAATATCTACTACCTGACGTCTGACTTTGATCCATCAGAAACATTTCAACACACTTTTATGAAAAGATGCTTTTATTGACTGAGCAGCAAATTATTGAGGTAGGTTATTCTGATGTTCTTTCAACTTTTTGTCACATTTCATCTGTAGCAGCATATTTTCATAGGACTCCATATGGAATGTTAGCATAAAAAAAGCATCATGAAGCCTGTTTTCCAGTGTAGTCCTGTTTCTCTGACTGTGACTAACTGGATGTGCTCTCTTCAACCTCTGACATGGGAGCTGGCTCGGAGCTCGTCTGCCTGGCTGTGTGTTTCCTGGACGGGGCCGCCTGTGGAGCTGGTTGACAATTGCCTTTTGTATCTATGCTTCTTTTTCTATGTCTGCTTCTGTCTCCTTGAACCCCAGTCGGCCTCAGCAGATGGCCGCTCACACTGAGCCTGGTTCTGCTGGAGGTTTCTTCCTGTTCAAAGGGAGTTTTTCCTCTCTACTGTCGCTACAAGCATGCTTAGTGTGAGGGATTGCTGAAGAGTCAATGAGTCGATGCAATCAGCTTGTTTTCCTTAGATAGAAAACTTTGAATCAATTTGACTGGATGATCTGGTGAACTGGAAAGTGACCTGAGATGACATGATGTGAATTGGAGCTATAGAAATAAACTGAATAGAATTACGTAGTTTTGTGGAGGTTGCTGTAAAATTATGAGCAACTGGTTCTTGCTTAACTAAAGCAAGAGGTGTGTCCAGCTGTTCTGCACAAAGCCAATGTATTTTTTAATGTTGGGAGACCCTAGGATGCCTGCCTGTAACCATCTTCTTTATAGTGTAATGATCCATGATGACTCATAGAGTGCTGATAAAAAGCCTCCAGCAGAGTGAAGACATCCTGTATTGTTCTGTAATTGGATGGAACATCTAATTCTATAATTATTAATCAGCTAAAGTGGCCCAGACATCTGTCAAGGATCCACTGGAGGAGATGAATCAGGGAAAGACCCAGAATGCTGCTCCTTCAGAATAAACTAAAGAATATATCTAGGAAAAGGAATTCCTAGGTTTCTGTCCTGAATCTGAATTAAACCAATAAACTTTGAATAAGACTTTAGATGCAAATCATTCACAGAAGGGGGTCGGGGGGGGGAAGTGGCCGCTGTAGAGCTGCTCCTTGTTGTGGCCCCGGTACTAAAAACATATGTTGGTAAAATTCAAATATAAGTACATTTTCTGTGTATTTTCTTTTAATTTGCACAGGTAGGAAATGCAATCTGACAAACTGATTTCAAAATAAAACAACATCAATATTTTATTTCAAGTTTATACTATTTTATCATCATCTCTTCATATCAACAACAAACACCCTTAATTTATGACATTTTGTCTCTTAGATCAGTTTTTGTAGGACAATCCTAAATCAGTTATGATGCTAACAGATGAGATCACGACTCATTAGTCTCTTGGACCTATTTCATTTTTGCCTTTACAATTTCCTTTTACAGATATTTAGAAATTACTATCAGCTTTAAGCTCAAACTATATCAAAAAAGGATTCCAGAGTTAATGGATTAGATCGGCTGTCCCTGACTTTATGGTTCACTTAAGAAACTAAACGATGCACTTTAACAGTTTTTGTGTTTTAATCTGTATCAAGGATGTTTTTTATTTTAAGATTTATTTACGACATCTTGTCAGTGAGTAAATAATACTGATGGAAAATATATAATTAAAAATAAAAGAAACAGAGTCAAACAGAGCAACTGTATGAAATAATATAGTCATTTATTTATTTCCAGCAAATTACAATATCCTGCAGAGAGAAAGCCCCCCTCCCCCCCGCCTCACAGAAGGGGTGTTTTAAGGAGACAAACATGTAGATGTCAGACCTACATCTACATGTTGTAGGCTGCCTACATCAGTTTTCCCTAAAAGACAGCATAGTGGAAATTCATTCAGCAGCTCAGTCTGGCTCTGGAAGCTAACAGGGAGGCAGGATTCCCCATGAGGGCTCAATAGTTTAAAGATATAGAGATAAAATAAGCAGAAGCTGGACGGTGAGTGTTATTAGATCGCTTTTGGAAAGTTATCCATCCTATATTTTGGAAACTTACTTCAATTTCCAAAACGTCACATAAACGAAGAGATAATCACAGTTCTATCTACTGCCACAGAGTATTTTTATATTTTTACATTTCGATAGAGCAATCATCACACTGTACATCTTTTATTGATCCAAGCTACTTTAACTTTTTTTTGTGGCTTTCATAAGATGGTTACTCTGATCTGAACTTTGACCATCTGGTTTCTGCAGGTCATCTGATCCCTTTAGGCGCCGTGGAGGCACCAAAGCACAGGGTGACATGTAGGTAGGAAATCTGACAGAACAGACGACAGACTGAGCCTGAAGAAAATGACAAAATAAACAACCGTATATATAGAATAAATATAGTATGTACAATTTGCTCTGTGTGCTTCTAAAAATAAATAGACGTAGCATTAATTTCCTCTTTTTCGAAGTATAAACAACTTTCCTTTAAAATAGAGAGAGAATTCTGGCACCGGTTTGAATAACAGCATCAAGGACACAAACTGATGTAGAGAGATGGAAGGATGCACTCACACTCTGCAGAAGGCAAAGTGGCCAAAATCTCTCTGGGCGAACAGTTCTAATCTGAGCACAACCCTGCACTGCCATCTGGTGGTGGGTTTTCAAACTACAGTACGCTGATGCATGTGAAAGGCACAGAAACAGTTGCTTTTTCTTTAAAGTGGTGTTTTGTAGGACTTCATTTAGAATAGATCATCTGTGCATTTCAAAGATTAGGAGAAAGAACAGGAGTACAAAAGAAAAACAACAATCAAAGTTTTAGTTTATAACACATGGCATTCAGAAAAGTCTTAAGAGCATAAAGCAACCATTAAAGTAGATTTTTGTACATCAGCACTATGTGCCCTGTTTGTGCATTTTGCTGGACCCTTCAAGAAAATTAAACATACAAACAAAATTAAAACTTAAACATAACGTTGTGATCTGTTAGCCGCCATCTTGGTTCAGTCTGTTAAATGACTCCACAGAGATGATGTGAAGGTATGGCGCTCACGCGGCGTGAAGAAGAAGACATATACCTTAAATTAACCCCCTACATCAATGTAGTGTTCAGATTCTCTACAAATAGAAAGATGAATGTTAAACGATAATGTTTTACAAGAAAGAAGGAACAAACTGTAACGCTTTTAGAATCAAACAAAAAAGAATCTCCTTTATGACAAAGAGAAACAGGAGAGGATGTTTTATGCATGAGAGAGCTGGATGACAAGGAACGATACTAACCTTAACCAATATTTTACTAAACTATCACTTGTGTCTTGAAATCAGTTCTTTGCATCATTTATGTATCAAATGTCATCATATTTTATGAATGAACTCCATAGCAATAATGTCTGACTGTTTGCTAATGAATGAAGTTTCTTAGAAAAAATCCCAAGGTTCTTTATTCATTCTACGTGCCTTCATGGCAGACTTTTTTTTATTTTTATTTACATGAACTTATTTTAAAAAAAAAATATTGGAAAAGCTATTTATTTGTAAATAAAATACTTGGTTTTACCATGAGTTCAAGCTAGCGGTTGCTAAAGACACAATGGGCCGCAACAAGTTATGTCCAATGATAGTTTCCTAAACATCTAAAAACTGTTAACTTGCTGTTTTCTGGACTCTCTTTCCTTTGTTACCCTTGATTCTAGTCGGTGGCGGCTGCACGCAGTTAGCCTCGCTGCACGCAGTTAGCCTCGCTGCACGCAATTAGCCTGGCTGCATGCAGTTAGCTTCACTGCACGCAGTTAGCCTCGCTGCACGCAGTAAGCCTAGCGTTGGAGCTAAATAATCCCATAAACTTGTCAATCAGCCGCACTTTCTAACAGACGAATGTGACGCCGGCGCGGTGGAGGGACGTGGTGCGCTAATCGAGCTGCTTTCAGCACGATGCTACTGAGCATGGATAACTTTTAACCAGAGTCTACGGGGGAAGATTTATGGAAATGGTAACTAATATAATGGTGAACGAAAAAGCTTTACTTGGTATTAAAGATTAAATATCTATCTTGCACATCTAAAAATGAATTAACATATTTTGAAACATTTTATTTTTAAAATAAAATTTTTATTTGTCTTTTTTATGTCTTAATAAAGATTATGGGTGAGTGGGGTGTTGCACCAGCACCCTCTATTGGCCAGCTGCCACTGGCTCTAGTCTGCACAAACCGTCCTAGGCTTTTTTAAGTGGATGTAGGTAAAATAAAGCATTAAATCAGCTGCTTTTACTACTGTGCTAATCAGGCTGGGCTTGTGGACAGAACAAGAAAACTAAATGCTGCTCATTTTAAGAATTTTGAGAAAGAGGACAAAACCAATATTTAAGTTGCATGAGTTGGTGCAAGGTTCTCACCGTATAATCATGCTTTGTAGAAGCCTCCAAATATCAGAGTAGTCATTTCTTATGAATTATTATTTATTTTGTGATCCTTCCCCCCCCCCCAAATGATAAGACAGACACCTGCCTTCCTGCAACGCGGCCCCTCCATGTGGGGGTGTCTCTAATTTCATGCCTGACAGCAGAGTTCACAATGATTACTCAGGCATAAATGAATAAAGCTAAATGCTATTTTAGATATTAATTTAATGAAGAAACAGCATTTATAACAGAGTTAAATGTTTAAAAAAGGGGATTCGACAACAAGCTACCTTTTCTGGACTGTTCGATGAGCATTGAAGGATGGAAACCTCCACACTGATGCCTATAGGAAACCTACTCACACAGACCAATATCTTCTTTCTGACTCACACCGCCCACTGGAACACAAACTTTCTGTCATCAGGACCTTCCAGCAGTGGGCAGAGCATGACCCTACTATAACAGAAGCACAAAGAACATAAACTCATCAAAGATGCTCTCTAAACCTGTGGAGACCCAAACTGGGCGTTTTTCAAATCAGCAAGGAAATCCAAGAGATGCGTTCTCTAAACACAAAATCCCAGAACATTTCAAACCAAACAGATCCTGAAACATAATGTTCACATTTTGGACAAAGAAGACAGGTGGTTTGAGAGGGATGTGAAGGAAGCCATCTATGTTAAGAAAGAAAATAACAACCTTAAACAGAGGGGGGGGGGGGGGGGGGGGGGGGGGGGGGGGGGACTCAGATTCCAGCTTTCAAAAACCTACAATGCAGCGATAGAGTTTATTCCTTCCCGCTATCATCTCAATCTTCATCGCCATGCAGGGGACTAAAACATCTTGCCTGGTCAGCCAGGCCAACAGTGACCCTACCGCCTCCCTTTTCAGAAGCATGGACCAGTATTCCGTATTGCAGGCTTGGCTCCGTTTTTTTTGTTGTTGTTCAATTTGCATGTTTTCTAGGACATAACAAAGCTTTAGTGTGGGCTACTCAATAAGCCTGGAACTCAATGCTGGTTGGCTCTGGCATCTTATTAAAGGAAGGTTAAATCAAATAATCAATATGAGGGGAAAATCCTGTGGTTTTGAAACAGAACTTTGTAAAACGTTGGTCTGTATCGGTACAGCCCATGACGAAAAAAAACACACATCAAGGACTTCCAAACATTTCTTATCCGTCTACTCCTCTGTCAACGATCTATGTTCCTACAGTATTACATGTAGCGCTCAGGTTCATTAGAACGTCCTGGGGATTTAAGAAGGACACTATTTAACGCTGCCATTAACCCACTTCGCAGGAATTTAAACTCTGCAGCTGAACTTCTTTTTGCCCGGCCTGGAAACCATGAAATTTGTTCTAATAAAAAAAAGGAATAAAAAAAGAATCCACATTCTGTGTAAAACCTTATTGATGTTATGCAGAAAGCTCTAATACGATATATATTCATATATATATATATATACATACAGTTGTGCTTGAAAAAAAAAATCTGCTCCCAGTAGAATACATTGAAATTGGCAAAAGTGATACTAAAATAAAACTATAAAAAATGGAGATTTTGACATTGATTTTGAATAAACATGTATTTTTGTTCACTGTTCTTGAGCAAGGCATTTTAATTTGACACGGAGTCCTAGTTCTCTATTTTATTCTCTAAATGATCATTTAGTACGGTACATTTTTATATATATATATTATAACTTTTCTCAATTTTGTTTTATTTGACTTATTGGTCTAAATTGATGATTTTCTGTAAGGGTTACTTTCAAGTACAACTGTGTATATATATATATAAAGCACCTGGGAATAACTTTACAAAGTTACCAACTGCTTTCTGTAACATCCTTTATATGTGTGGAATATGGATCGACGGCCATTATGTTGCATAAAGACAAGATAATTGAAATCATTAATTATAGAAGAGGTTAATCAAAAACCAATGTCCCTGATGGACACTTGGCTGTTAGGATTTAGAGTTGCTCTCATAAGGGAGAGCAAACCAAAGGCTGCATCCTCACACCAAGACATGGAAGCTGTGCTAAAAAAACAATAGGTCCAGTTTCCTCAAGTAAAATCACTCCTGCTTTGCATAAAACAGGAGAGAAAAGCATTTTACCAAAAAACAACAGATAAAGAAACCACAAGATGTTACCTTACAGGTAATTTCAGTAGCACTTGGTGATGAAAACATTCATTTTGGTGAGTGTGTGTGTGTGTGTGTGGGGGGGGGGGTGGGGTGGGTGGGTGGGGGGGTTTGTGCTCTTTTTCGCTGTTAAATGTCTTATTCAAACAAAGGGTTTACGTCCTCATTGAAAATAATAAGGACTCCCTTTGCACATAACACCATATATTAAATTGCTTGTTGGTTACCAGTTCTAACTATCAATAAAAGCGGCAGGACTCGGGTGTTTAGTAAGATTAAGGAGCCGTGGGACCTTTAAGGCTGGATCTATCATTGGTCAGAGTTTTTTTTCATGGTGGAGATGAAGAGGTCTGTGTTCCAGGGAGACAGTCAGGATTTACATGCTGCTGCTGTTCCAACAGTAAAGCAGCGTCATGATATCTGAGGATGAAACTCTGCTCAGAACATCATCATCCAGAGCCTTTCAGGAGATCAGCCTTGTACTGTGGATGTCCACTTTCACGCTCAGGCATAAGGGTGATCTTCGTCTTCGTTTTTTGCATGCACGCTTACAGTGTGTTTACGTTTAATTTTCTGTGTGTATGTTTCAACAAATTCAGTTGCCTAAATTGGAGTCCCTGTCCCCAATAAACCAACGCATGTGGAAGCAGAGGGCAAGGAAACCGGTTCCCAGGAGGTCCCCCAGAGCGGTCAGGTACGGGATGGAGAAGTTATCGGGGTCCATACCTCGGCCCCACATCCAGTGAACCATCCAGTCAGCCAGATACAGCAGGATTGCAACCTGTAGGAAGGTAAAGCAGAGGCACTTTTAGACCAATTCTGCCTGGAAAAAAAGACTGATGTCTTTTCAGATGTTTTCTTCAAAGGTTTATAGTCATAGAATAAACAAGACCCTTGATGACTTGGTCAATTATAGACCTATATCTGATCTTACTTTCTTATCTAAAATTCTTGAGAAAGTAGTTGCCGAACAAGTTTGAGACCAACTTAAGCATAATTAACTTTTTGAAGAGTTTCATTCTGGCTTTTTGATAAAGCTTATAGTCAGAAAGGCTCGGTTATCCTGAGCATCTCTATAGTTATGCTGCTATAGGCTTAGACTGCTGGAGGACATAGGGACCCCTTTTTCATCATTCTGTTTCATTCTATCTGTTAAAAGGGAGTTTTTCCTCTCCACTGTCGCAACAAGCATGCTTAGTGTGAGGGATTGCTGAAGAGTCAATGAGTCGATGCAATCAGCTGGTTTTCCTTAGATAGAAAACTTTGAATCAATCTGACTGGATGATCTGGTGAACTGGAAAGTGACCTGAGATGACATGATGTGAACTGGAGCTATAGAAATAAACTGAATTGAAGACATCCTACTACATCTAACATAACAATGAAGACATCTGAAACATTAACCTGCCATAAGACTTTAGTTTCATCATCCTACATGTAATTACTGATAACAACACTTGTTTGTTTTCAGTGAGTAATTTCAAACCTTAGCTACTTAGATGATCCCTTTATATCTTTCCAGACCCTTACTCCCCTGACATCTTGCAAAATGGTCTAGGCAGGATGGAAATGTTGGAGTGAAGAAGCGTAAAAGTATTATTTCGTACTTCGGCGCAATCGCAGACTGCTAGCTAAACAGCGTATGAGTTACACTTGGAGTCTACGTCAAAAACATCATGGCGGCACATAGGCGAAATGTTTGATTGACAGACAAGTAGCGTATCTACTTTCAACACTAGGCAGAGTGGATTGTATGAAGGTTATTTTGTTTCAAAACAATTTGTGCATTGTAAGTGTGAATTTGAAGTTGCAGAGAATTACATTCTAAGTTTTGTATTTGTACAATAAAAAAAAAAAATCACAAGTACAAAATTTTTAAGTGCAAGAACACCAATTCTGTTCTGCAAGTTGCACATCAAAAACCTCTTACATTCTCAGTTTAACTCCAGATGGTCCAGAACTATTTTTGCACTGTAAATTTTGTGTTTTGCAACTGTAGATTTTTAAAAAATGTGTCACAATTACAAAATAAAGTTACACCTCTTCTTTAGTAGAAGTACACAAATTGTTTTCGAGTTGGAAATCAAAAATGTCTTCCATTCAGTTTTGCTACAGTTGATCTAAAACAAATGGCGCAGAACTAATTCAAACATGTCTATTAAAATCTTCAAAATATATATAATATATATAATACAAATCAATGAATACGAATGCACTAATCTGCTGCTATAAGTCTCAAATTAAACTTCAACCAGTTACGTCTTCATTTTCACTTTTGACACAAATGTCACACCTGTAAAAACAATCTGTGACTTGTGGGTAGTACCACTGATTGGACAGCAGGGCGCGCTGCTGCTCAGTCAGTCTGTACCAACCGGAAATACTGTACATGTCTGGCCTGCTGCCATGTTGCCTTGTCGGTAATCCCTGAGAGAGTTTGTATCCCGTCATCGGGAGCGCACACAGAGTAGATAGAGCTGATCGAGTTCAATCCGCCTCAATTCCAAACTACTAAACATGAAAATATAGATATGTTTATGAAAGATGGTCGTTGTTATTTTATTCTTCACTTTACATGTTATAGCAGAACATCGGCAGTTTGATTTAAAAATAAAGAAAACACAAGCGTGGTTGTTTTCATGTAAACTTTTTGAACCTTTAGGATTCCGTCAGCCATCTAACAAAATCTATTTGTTCTCAAAATACAATAATAAATATCTTTATCTGTAAATTAATGGTTCATTTGAATGAAGCTTGTAAAATCTCCATAAAAAATGGCTGATTGGACATTAATTTCATTGCATGTGAATTTTAGAAAAGCTTTTATAAGTATAGTAACAGTATAGTGAACAGGCATCAGTGTCATCATGGAAAAGATTAAGGAGATAATTGTATGTCTACCTGCAGTAGAGCAGCTACCAGGTAGAAGGTGATAAAGATGGGTGTCAGGGTGGTGTGACCCCCTCTCAGGGAATTAATGGTGTAGAGGAAGATGAGATGACCAGGAGCAACCAGGAAGAAGAGCACACGGGCTGAGCGAGAATTCACAGCTGGAGAGGAGAAGGGATAACATGTCAGGATAGTTCTGAGATATGTCTGCAGAAAGTGAATAAAAAATATTGCCATAAACTTAAAACATTTACACATGTTGTGACAGCCAAATGTAAAGAATGCTGCTATAAACTTAGGCTGCTGGAAGACCTGGGGACCACTTTTCATCATTCTGCTTTATTCCATCTCTACTAACTAATTCTCTGTTTGTCAGTTTAACCAGTAGCTTTTTCCTGTCATAGTAGCTTCATCTGGTCTGGTTCTTCTTTGGCTGTGACTCCACTCTGTAAGAAATATCAGCTGGTTTCCTGACATCCACACCTCCAATTAGAAATGTGTTTTTTTTCTGCTTAGTCGTGCTTATCTCCTAGACATATCTCAGTATGTGCACTCCTTCATCCCCTTTGGCATGAAACGTAGTTCAGAGATCACCTGCTTATCTGTTTCTTTCCTAGACACCAACAGTATGGAGCATGTTTACTGTTAACTTTTCTAATACAGAAGGTTTTAAGAGATAAGGATTTCCATGTTCTGTTTTTTTCACACTTTCTTCTTCTTAAAAGGAGTTTTTCAATTCAGCTTAATTTATTTCTATAGCTACAATTCACATCATGTCATCTCAGGTCACTTTCCAGTTCAACCAGATCATCCAGTCAAATTGATTCAAAGTTTTCTATCTAAGGAAAACCAGCTGATTGCATCGACTCATTCCTTTTCCTCTCCACCGTTGCTGCCAAAACAATCTGCGTCAGGGATTTCACCAACTGCAAGCAAATGACTACTGTCATCCAGGAGGAGCAAACCCTGCACAGTCAAGGACTTGATGCAGTCAGCTGGTTTTCCATAGATAGAAACATTTGAACCAATCTGACTAAATTATCTCTGTAAAGAACCTTGGGGGTGAATTGTTGTGAATGTGCACTATTTACATAAACTAAATAGAATTTGATCTTTGCAACTCTTCCACAGTCACATGTGCATCCGCACTGCTTATTGTCACTCATGTTAACACCTGATACTCACTTAATCCTCACTAACGTTTCCTTCTTTGGAATTAAAAGGTTTCAAAAATACAGGGTTGAATGGGAAGAATCAAATCCCTGACTGAATAACGATGCTGATGAGTACAAGGAAAATGATTAATCATGTCAGGCTCTAAGCGTTCACAGCGACTCACAGTGGACTAGTCGTTTCATGTTTATATGGATTTCATGATCATTTTTTTATGTAATTTAGTCAATATGAGTGACTTTCTAAAGAGTAAATCCTGGTAAAAAATAATGAATTAAGTATTAATAAAGATCAACAAATATGGCTAAAGTAAGCATGTTTTTTTTTTAGTTTGAAAGTGTTTTTAACATCTTTTTTTGTGGATTGTATTTTTATTGTAAGAACTGAGTATTCTGTCATCAAATATTAGGGAGTTATCATTAAAGTTTGATGCAATGGAGAACGAAGATGAGTTTGATGCTATTTTAGTTCTCAGAAGAGTTTTATAAGCATTTACTGCAGGAGATATTCAATGTTTAGTATATATTCCAATATTTCTTATTACAAACTAACAACCTTTAGGTGCCACTGCCAAGTGGTTGATTATAGACATATATAACTGTAGTGTGCATAGGGCCCTTTTTACTCATTGTTTGCTAACTTTACATGCAGCAATGCTTTACCAAAAATGATCAATTGCTAATGGAGGATTTTAAGCTTCTTTTTTGAATACCTCTTTAATAAAAGTAGTGACATTAAATAAAAAATTCCACTGCTGCTTATTTTCATTAGTAAAATTATGGCAATCCTATAGGTGAATCGCACCGCGAAGCAGTAATCGAAGCAACAGTGGCTTCTTAGAAGAACCTCGAATATAAGACATATTTTCAGATGTTTCACTAATTGATAGTTTTGATGCCCTCAGTGTGAATCTACAATTTAGAGTCATAAAAATAAAGAAAACTCTTTGAATGAGAAGGTGTCCCAACTGCAGCTTTGCATCTTTATTCCCTAAATAAGACGGATTTTTTGTTCAGGCATGTTCTCTTTAACATTAAAAGTGACTTCATGCTCTTTGACATTTCAGTGTAAAGATATGGAAGAAAAATGCTAAAGATAAAATCTAGAAGAGGACGGCTGAAGAACCGTCCGGATTGGTCATCATGAATCCTTTAATGCAAAAAGAAAATCTTCTGCAGCCGCCTAATTACTTACTGGAATCAAAGAAGGAAGTGCACGGCGTGGGGCACTTCCTGGGAGCTGGGTTGGGGTCCCCCATGGGCAGCCCGTTCATGTGGAGATAGGTTGAGATTCGACTGGCCTGAACGGCCACCAGGTTGCCTCCTACACCTGTTCCAGGTAAACACAAAGAGGAGGGCAGGCGGAGTGAAAAAATCAGCACTTTTCAGATATGAACCACATGTTTTGACTCTTATCCTTACCGTTGATGACAGGAGTAAAAACAGCCATCCCAGCAAAGTTTGGGTCACTAACAGTCTTATCAAGAATCAGACCCCCGACACTGAAAGACAGAAAAGGTTCAGTTACAGAGAGAATGATAGAAAAGGATTAGCCAGATGGAGATGGACCACAGGTCCTACCTGCTGATTGCCATGGCGATGATGACTGGCTCCCAGCCAGAATAGAGGACCTCTCTGGTAGACGGGATCTTCCTTGCAATCAACACCCAAATAGGACACATGGCCACGAACGCCACACACACCAGCGGGTTTGCATAGTCGTTATACTCTGAATGGGAGGAGCAAAGATCGATGTTTAACACCGGCCCAGTTTGACCATGCTGCTACGCCAAAGGTCAGTGATGTCATGAACCGACACAATCTGTGGCGTTCCTTGATCTTTAAGTGGTGGTGAAGATTCTCAGTCATCCAGGTCGTTCCAAAAAAAAAAAAAAAATCAATCCCCTGGACTTTGTTTCCAAGTTTGAAGACGTTTCTCTTCCATCCAGGAAGCTTTTTCAATTCAAAATGTCAGAAATAGCATTGAGTTCCAGGTTTTATCCAGCAGCCCAACAAAGCCTGGTTTTAGTTTAGAAAACATGCAAATAGAAACGGATGAACGGGTCCCCCCCTTTGGAATGGGGGTCATTTGGCTTCTTTGTTAGCCTGCAATGCCCCATACCTGTCTATGTCTCTGAAAGGGGGGTTGTTGATGGCGGGAAGGAATCAACTCTATCGCTGAACTGTAGGTTTCTGAAAGCTGAAATCTGAGTCCTGGATGGGAAGCGAAACGTCTTCAAACTTGGAAACAAAGTCCAGTGGATTGTTTTTTAACTTTTCTTGATCATCATGATGCACCAATGTTCTCTAACCAACCTCCTTCACAAAGCCCCAGGGTTCGGTTTCCTTTGAACCACACCCACTGACTCTGTTTTCTAATTAAGGCATCTTCTAAAGAAAATATTTAGGAAAAAAAGAAAATCCCTCCATCTTATTATAATGAGCCAGGCAGAAATACCTTTGGAGGCGCAGTGCTTTCTGTGATGCAGTGTTACTCGACCAACACTGCAGGGGACTCCAAGCCACAAAGAAACACAACATCCGAGTAGACAGTGTGCTAACGAGTCCCAGACGCCAGCTGTGTTTGTGTGTCTAAGCAAAAAATATCCCAAATATGCCGAGTGTGGCGTTTAAAGGGAGCAAACTTATTTTCTGGCCTGTTTCTGACAGATGCGGGATTACGCCACGCTCTGTGGGCTTGTCTGTTTATGTGGAAAGGAGGGAGCGGCGAGGTAGCTCCGGGCGGCCGGGTGTGTCTCAAGCCAAGACGCTGTTAAAGTTCCTAACCTTAAAATCCAGCGAGGTGAGGCGTAGGAAGGCTTTCATCCTTATTTACCTCCCACTGCCGGCTTCGGCTCTCCACAACCACTATTGAGCATTTTTCCTTTGGATAAACTTTTCATGCACAAAAACACAGGTGCTTGGTTCCAGGTACTCAGAGATTCACTTCCACACAGAAAGCCCATATTCTGATACTTCAGCGATAGCATCAAGGTGTTGCTTTATTGTATGTCTCTTTCCATGTCCGTTAGTTGTGCTGTCCTTTTTCCATCTCTTTGCAGGTGATGAAGCAGCCTGAAGATGTTTTATCATTATCTCCTTTTTATCTCCTCTTTCTTTCATCTTTTCTCCTTTTTTCTGTTTTTCCTTTCCTGTTCTACTTACATTGCAGTGTCCATATAATCTGTAAAACTCCCTGCATGATTATAATAAAGCTATTTATATGCATAAATCAAGCGGAACACTATGGCGATAGCCATACTGCTCCACTGGTGAAAGTAAAATTTGTTGGGCTCTTTTTTTTGCATCAAGGCAATTATTCTTATTGCCACATTGCCAGACTGGACACTGGAAAAAAAAAAAAAAAGAGATCAACTCCCTTGTTTGCTGATGTTCTCAGGTTCTGATAACTCGGCTCGTAGCTCTGCTTCAACAGCAGGATTTACACACCAAGACCTCACTGACTGAATTTCTAACATGTTTGATTTCACCCAGACCCTAAGATTCCTGATGGCGAGGTGTTCATTAGCGGCTGATCACCCCTTGTTAGCCGCTGCATACGACACCATGCAGGACGCACCATGAGGCAGAAACTCAACCCGTTCAAAAAAATTCTTACATCGGCATGAAAAACTCGTACAGTGTAGCCCGACCTTGATCATTTCGTCTGTGTACTACATGTGCTCTCTTTATTTAATTTAAATAAATATTACGAAAAATAAAGTTAAGCTTCTGGAATAAAGTATAGATAGGATTTAAAGTTGGAAACAGAAACATGTGAGAGCAGATTATTGCTCAGTTAGAGTTTGGTTAGAAATAACACTCATGAACATTTTTGTGAACATTCTTGAAGTTTTTCTTTCACAGAGAGCTTAAATGAACGTTGCACACTACTGTGAGATTATTCACCAAGTAACTGAATAATGTGTTGGGTTATGTGAAGCGACGGCTGGTACCTAGCTCCTGGTAGAGCCCCGTGGAGATGCCCGCCAGCAGCGACAAGGTGATCAGGTCTCCAAGGCTGGCGGCGATGGGTGTGGCAACATTATCGGGGTTGATGCCTACTTTTCTGGATGCGACAATAACTCCGATCATGATGAGACCTGAAGACAGCATCAGAACATGGAAAGCAAACGCTAAGTTTAGACTTTATGAGACATTTAAAGCTGAGCTCAGTGATGCCAAGAAGTCTGCACTAAAGGACGGATAAGACGCTCATGCATTCAGTGACGGGCTGAACTTATTACTGCAACCAGGCTACACAGACAAAACTAATATTTTAATTATTTTTATTCATTGAAAGTGCTACTTTTCATTTTAAGTCATTATAAATGCAGAAATCTATCCTACTACAGGTTCTGATTAGTTTGTTTTTTCTTTAGCACTGCAGGGGAACTTTGACCCATTCTTCTTTGTCAATTTGTTTTATTTCAGCTACATTGTAAAGTTTATGGTCAAGCCATCCAGTGGCGGTTCTAAATAAATGTACCAGGGGGCCAGCGTGTTTTCATGGGGGCCCAGAAAAGCATGAAATAAAAAAACTGGGCAAGAGATTCAAATATATTAAAAGAGCTGCATGAAGTGAAATTTCAATTCAATTAGATTTAATTAAATTTAATTAATCAATATACATTCGGAATTTAGGAATTTTACATATTTTTGACTTAATTTAATTTAAAATACCCATTTTTTTATAAAATCTGAATTAAACTCAATAAAAACTGATAAATTCAGCTGTAAAAATTTGAGTTTTCTTTTTTATTTGTTTTGAAAAAAGCATTAAGCAGATAAAAACTTGGATCCTATCTCAGTGCCACTGAAGCTATAACTTTATTTTATTTAAAATAATTAGTATAACAGAATCCGTAAAGAAAAAAAAAAAACAGAAATAGATCCAAAGGACCCATTAGTAACCACATAGCATCATAAAAGTTTCTTATATTATCTTAGTATTATGTCTTCAGTACAGGGGTCATAACAGGGGCCAGGACATGATCTACAGGGGCACTGGCCCCCATATGCCCCCGTCTAAACCGCCCATGAAGCCGCCTGCTGATTTGATCTGACTCCAGGCTTTGACTAGGCAATTTCACAACCTCTAATTATTATTATTTTTTTCTTGGAGTCTCTATTGGACAATTTTTATTCATAATTCACTCGGATCAGCATGAGTGGAGAAAAGTCACCTTAATTAGGACATCGCTACGGTAACAGATAGGATTTACTCCCTTTGCTTCTACTATGTTGGGAAACAGAGTCCGACTCTGAGAATCACTGATCCAAATGATCTATTCAGATCATCCATTAGATCTGACATCAAAGCTGAAAACAAGATATATCTTTACACTAAGAACTAAGCCTGTCTGTCTGTCTGACCGTCTGTCTTTTTGACCGTCTGTCTGACCATCTGTCTGTGAAGGTTAAAGTCTGTTAATATCTGAAATTAAATTCTATTAATATTTGACATAAAAGCATAAAATGTTCTGGAGAATCTTCAGCCGAACAACCAAAGTCAGTCTTTTGAATTTGAATGATGCCAGTTCTGCCCCCTGCTGGGGGAGGTTGGTATCACAGCGTTTAGAACAGAAACCCGACTTGAAGTTCTGCATAATCACAGGTTAGATACAGACTCATCTGATTTTAGAGCAGTGGAGGACTCCATGAAAGAATGTTGAAAAAAAGGGTGATTATTGGACAGATTCATCTGAGGTTAACATTAAAATGGCCGATTAGCTTTTTTAATTTTTTTTTTGAAATTTTTCATATGTAGATGTGTTTCTTTTTAAACTGCACAGGTTGTTCTAACAAACAGGATGAGCATAAACATTTCACACGCTTTCAGGGTCAAAAGACATCTAATATTCCACATGAATCCTTGTCATGTTTGCACAGGAACTGCAGTGACCAACCATGGCCAGATAAAAACAGATCCTCCATAAACCTGATTTGTGTGATAAACAAGCTGTTCAGACATTTAAAACCTTTATAGCGGCGACCGTACCCAGGAGCAGAGATGCGATGAAGGCCGTGGCCACGCTGGAGGCACACAGCAGCACTGCATGGCCCAGCTTGAACTGTCCCTCTGGGAGCCAGCCAAAGATTACAGCAGCTATGGAAGCCAGGAACCCCACAACTGTGGCCTGGACCTGGATGCAAACAAGCACACACACAAAGATTCAAATGTAGATTCCATTACTGTGAACATTTAAAGTGCATGAGACTATCCCGTTACGCTGAGAAGCTTTCAATCCATCCTGCTGAACCCAGCGCTGTCCAACGCCTGTCACTGGACACAACTATGCAATTACCACAACAAGCAGTGGATATGACACCCATGGCGCCGTAAAGGAAGCCCAGCACCTGTTGGTCGCCATGTGAGTTTGCTCCGACCATCAGTAGGAGGCTCCAGGAAACGTGATAGACTCTTTTAAATATTACATAATGTGCTGCCTCGTGTTGCAAATGGGTGAAGACCAGTTTACAGAAACCTGGAAGGAGCAGACTTAGAAAAGTCAGATATCCTGAGATAAAAAAGCTGATTTCATTAGCTAAATCTAAATAATTAGCATTGCTTCGTGATTAAGCTTCTCAGGTTGATGTTTTCTACCTAAAAGCGCAGATTTGTGCTACGTTAAGAATTATTTATGATGTTTTTCAAAGGAGTTATTGGATTTATTTATGATAGTTTCATAACAATTTTTTAAAAAGCCTCCTTTCAAGCTAAAAGGACCTTTTTTGCGATATTCAAGTTTTCAATGTGAAACAAATTTACTGGAAATAAAGAAAGGAGGAATTAAGGAGGCCATGCTGGTGTTAGGTCATCATACCTTGATCATATGCTTGGCCGTAGAGTCAACAACGTAGCACAGACCACAGTGGTGGAGCGAAGTTTTACCTAATATGTCACTTATGGCCAACTTCTCTTTAGCGTATCAGCTAGCATCAGTGACATTTCATGCCATCCAGAGACGTTGAGAGAGAAATGTTATCCTGACACTGAGCCTGGTTCTGCTGGAGGTTTCTTCCTGTTCAAAGGGAGTTTTTCCTCTCCACTGTCGCTACAAGCATGCTTAGTGTGAGGGATTGCTGAAGAGTCAATGAGTCGATGCAATCAGCTGGGTTTCCTTAGATAGAAAGCTTTGAATCAATCTGACTGGATGATCTGGTCAACTGGAAAGTGAGCTGAGATGACGTGTTTTTATTTGCGGCTATATAAATTTAATTGAATCAAACTGAATTGCATTCAGGACGCCAGCAGCGGCGGAAAGAGGTGATCAGTCATGTCAGGTAAAAGTTTTTATCTCCTGAACTTTTTGGAAAAAAATAGTTTCTTCTTTTTCAAAAAAAATTCAATTAACATTAAAAACGTCTTTGTTATGATTATTAGCTGATTCAGTTGAACTGTTTCTATTAAGCTCTTTTAATGTAAACGGATGATGGAAACACAACTTTAGTTATAATGCTATTACTTTCTCAAAATCTTAAATAAAGCTGTATTTTGCTGGATTCTTTCACGTCTAAGTAATCCTTATGAGTTCAGCTCTCTGATTTGGAAAAATGAGCGGATGGAGAATAGCTTTAGCTAGGAAGCACCTACCATAACCGGTCTGCACCTGCACTTTAAAGGAAAAGTCCGCTCAATATTCAGAATTCAAACTTCTGAAAGTTCATTAAATCTGAAATTATTCCATCCTGTTCAATAAATGATCAGTGTTTCTAATTCAGAGTAATTTTCATGTGAATTTGCTTTACTGGAGGCATCCATGTTTGTCAAAGAACACTACTGCCACCTACTGGTTTGTGACGTCACGGTGTGGTATCGGCTGTTGATCAAGTCCCAGTGCTGTATCTGGTGTTTGTCACAACGCGCTATTATGCAAGTCATCTTGAAAACATTCTTCTTCCAAATGTTTGCTACATATTACGGGTTTTTTCTCTGGCCAGAAGTTCGATGGATTATTCTTGGCTGACCGGACGTTTCCTTTAAACAAGGGGATGAGACTGAACACAGACATAAACATATGTCTGTGTTCTTCTTTCCTTTAGCTCTGGCTCAGAACTGAGCTGTGCTTGGTGTTGCTGAGCAGAGGGTGAGGCAGAGCAGCAGACACTAGACTGAGAACCTAAGTCCACATAACAGCTTTCTAACACTGTTTACTGATTTCTTAAACTCAATCTCTGCCCAGGTTTGGAAACAGGCTGATTACTTCATCTCTAAAGCTCACTGACTAACCTTAAATAAAGAAATAATAAAACCTCACACAGTTATAATTAAGCAATCTAGATTATTTAGTCATGTCGTATTTTCTGTTCCATGTAATATATCACTGAGTAAATTACACTTCTGTTGCTAGGTTACAGGTATGATTTTAATAATGTGGCCAGTTGTGTTTGCATTCATCCACACTATCAAGCAATGACTTCATTTGTTTTTTTAAAGATAACCTTTAAAAGTTTAAATCATAGATGCTTTATGAGTTTCATTTAAATCAGGGGAAACATGGGTGATGAGATGAGAAAGACGATGGGTGTAAAAACGCGGTCAGGCATGTTCCAGACGCCAAAGCCTGTCCTGTCTATGAGATGCTGCAAGGATTACCTTCTTAATCTACGTTTACTGATATGAACACATTGCAGGAGTTTCATCAGAGCTGCAGGAGAGATGATGCTTAACCTTGAGAAACCTTCAGTTTTGTTGAACTAGATATGCTTAGACTTATCTTTCCATTGGAAGATTATTTCTAAACTCCAACCAAATCAATTCCTTCAATGCACTGTTTCAGTAAAGACAAGTCTTATAGTTTAGAAGCTGAGGACCACTTTAGCAGACTTTATATAATGTACATCCTGGAATATTTCCGTTTTATTTCACTAGTATTTCAGTGAGGTTGACGAGCTGTGATCAATCTGTACTGAACCCAGGTGAGTGGAAGCCCACCGTCTAGATTAGAGGTCTTCAACGACCCTCAAAAAGAGACATGTAAGAAATTCATCTGCAGAAAACTCTGTAGCTGCAGAAATAAATCTGCTACTATGTTGATGGAGGCAATTCTGTTCCCTGCAAGCAAAGAACTCGATTGTTAAATGACAATTTGAGAAAAATATATCCTTTAGAAATGAAACTTTGCTGTATGTCAGGCTCAGACTGAACGCGTTGCAGCCGTGCTGCAGAGAGACAGTCACTCTATATGATTGATTGACTGATTTATTGATCTCACAGTGGAGAAATGTACTCCTTCCATCAGCTCAAATAGTCCAAAAGGAGGAAGAAAAGGTGCATGGGATATATACAGTATATACCGTATATTATCGTACAGGGTTATTGCACAGGGTGTTTACATGAGTATTTATATAGATAAAAATGTATATTTTTCCATATTGTTATTGCACTGGGTGTCAAATATAGAGAAACAGGTTATTGCACAGGGTATGCTGCGACCAGGCTTTCTCTCATCTGGGTTTACACTGTTTCTGTGTTCTGATTAGTGAAGCTAGCTTAGGTTGGTGGGTTGATTCTATTCTGAAATTCCGCTGCACTATTTTACCCTCTGGGGTCAGCTTTTCCTGTTGAGCAAGTGAAATTCAGGAGCCCAATGTTTGGACGGCTGCAGCCTCTGGCCAAACTTCTTTTTCTGTAGAAACACTTTGATCACCAGCACTGCACCATGGCTGATGAGAGCGTGGATTTTAACAAATGGGGTTCCTTGCAGAGCCACAGGTGCAACACATTCAGTGTTAGTGAGGTGTTATTTTAACCAACGAAGTGCATTCTTTTATTTATTATAATATATGATTTTCTTATAAATTGTATTTTTTTTTTCAATTATCAACATTCTTTTCAAACTGCATGCTACAGATACAATTCTCTTGAATGAATCTAGGGGGCAGTGGGCTGCCATGGTGCGGTGCCCGGGGAGCAGGGTGGGGTTAAGGGTCTTGTTCAGGGACCAAGAGTGGCAGTCTGTGGGACTGTGTTGGACTTGAAGTCTGAACCGCTGGGACCAAAGCCCAATGCTCTAACCACTAGGCCGCCCTTCTGGGGGAGGGATTTCCTCTGGAGATTAGAGCCCAGAGTTTATCCTATTGGTCCTAATGGACGTTATTTTCATTGGTCAACGTGAGCATCAAATGTGAGCATTTGTGTTGTGCCACAAGTTAAAAGAATAAGGAAATTTGAAAGGAAAGCAAATTGTATAACTTAAAGGAATGACTTTAAAAACAGTTGAAAGACATTAAATATGAAAAGAATATATAAAAAACAATAAAAGTTACCCTACATTCCTTTCTTTTTATTAAGATGTTTTTCAAAAGTATAATTTCTAGATTACTTTTTTTTTTTTCAAATTTCTATTCACAAAACATGCTGCAGGTATGGAAGCCCGTTTCCGCCACTCTGTAAAAAAAAAAAAAAAAACTATCTCAATATAATGAGATACTATCTCATTATAATGAGTTACTATCTCATTATAATGAGATAGTATCTCATTATATTGAGTTACTATCTCATTATAATGAGATACTATCTCATTATAATGAGATACTATCTCATTATAATGAGTTACTATCTCATTATATTGAGATAATTTTTTTTTTATTTTTTACCAATTTTTAAGTTAAAATTGAGTATTTTTGGTCAATAGCTCCCAGGTCATGTGACCTATTGATGCAAAATCAGTGTGAAATTGTTCTACTAGTCTCTTGTGATGGGGCACACTCATTTGTTTTGCATTTTAACTCTTTTTTTATTTTTTTAACCAATTTTTTTAGTTAAAATTGAGTATTTTTGGTCAATAGCTCCCAGGTCATGTGACCTATTGACCCAAAATCAGTGTAAAATGGTTCCACTAGTCTCTGTAGATGGGGCACACTCATTTATTTTTCATTTTAACACTTTTTTAATTTTTTTACCAATTTTTTAAGTTAAAATTGAGTATTTTTCGTCAATAGCTCCCAGGTCATGTGACCTATTGACCCAAAATCAGTGTGAAATGGTTCTACTAGTCTCTGTAGATGGGGCACACTTATTTGTTTTTCATTTTAACTCTTTTTTTATTTTTTAGCAATTTTTTAAGTTAAAATTGAGTATTTTTGGTCAATAGCTCCCAGGTCATGTGACCTATTGACCCAAAATCAGTGTGAATTGTTGGGTCCCCCCTTACATGGGCCCACCACCCGTGAGAGGGGCCATAAGGGTCGTATGCAATGTGTGTTGGCCGGGGGAGGGGACCCTGGTGGTCCGATCTTCGGCTGCAGAAGCTGGCTCTTGGGATGTGGAATGTCACCTCGCTGGTGGGAAGGGACCGGAGCTAGTGTGTGAGGCTGAGAGGTTCTGGCTAGAAATAGTCTGTCTCACCTCGACGTATGGTTCTGGTTCTGGAACCAGTCTCCTATAGAGGGGCTGGACATACTTCCACTCTGGAGTTGCCCACAGTGAGAGGCGCTGGGCAGGAGTGGGCATACTTGTTGCCCCCCATCTCGGCGCCTGTACGTTGGGGTTCATCCCGGTGAACGAGAGGGCTCCGCCTAAGGGTGGGGGGACGGGTTTTGACTGTTGTCTGTGCTAACGGGCCGAACAACAGTTCAGATTACCCACCCTTCTTGGAGTCCTTAGAGGGAGAACTGGAGGGTGCTCCTCCTGGGGACTCCCTTGTTCTGCTGGGAGACTTCAACGCTCACGTGGGCAATGACAGTGAGACCTGGAGGGGCATGGTTGGGAGGAATGGTCGCCCCCCCGATCTGAACTCAAGTGGTGTTCTGTTGTTGGACTTCTGTGCTCGTCATGGATTGTCCATAACGAACACCATGTTCAAGCATAAGGGTGTCCATATGTGGTAAAAAATAAAAAAAAGAGTTAAAATGCAAAACAAATGAGTGTGCCCCATCTACAGAGACTAGTAGAACAATTTCACACTGATTTTGGGTCAATAGGTCACATGACCTGGGAGCTATTGACCAAAAATACTCAATTTTAACTTAAAAAGTTGGTAAAAAAAATAAAAAAAGAGTTAAAATGAAAAACAAATGAGTGTGCCCCATCTACAGAGACTAGTAGAACAATTTCACACTGATTTTGGGTCAATAGGTCACATGACCTGGGAGCTATTGACCAAAAATACTAAATTTTAACTAAAAAAATTGGTAAAAAATAAAAAAAAGAGTTAAAATGAAAATCAAATGAGTGTGCCCCATCTACAGAGACTAGTAGAACAATTTCCAAGTGATTTTGCGTCAATAGGTCACATGATCTGGGAGCTATTGACCAAAAATACTCAATTTTAACTTAAAAAATTGCTAAAAAATAAAAAAAAGAGTTAAAATGAAAAACAAATGAGTGTGCCCCATCTACAGAGACTAGTAGAACAATTTCACACTGATTTTGGGTCAATAGGTCACATGACCTGGGAGCTATTGACCAAAAATACTCAATTTTAACTTAAAAAGTTGGTAAAAAAAAATAAAAAAAGAGTTAAAATGAAAAACAAATGAGTGTGCCCCATCTACAGAGACTAGTAGAACAATTTCACACTGATTTTGGGTCAATAGGTCACATGACCTGGGAGCTATTGACCAAAAATACTAAATTTTAACTAAAAAAATTGGTAAAAAATAAAAAAAAGAGTTAAAATGAAAATCAAATGAGTGTGCCCCATCTACAGAGACTAGTAGAAGAATTTCCAAGTGATTTTGCGTCAATAGGTCACATGATCTGGGAGCTATTGACCAAAAATACTCAATTTTAACTTAAAAAATTGCTAAAAAATAAAAAAAAAGAGTTAAAATGAAAAACAAATGAGTGTGCCCCATCTACAGAGACTAGTAGAACAATTTCACACTGATTTTGCATCAATAAGTCACATGACCTGGGAGCTATTGACCAAAAATACTCAATTTTAACTTAAAAAATTGGTTAAAAAAAAACAACTATCTCATTATAATGAGATAGTATCTGATTATATTGAGATACTATCTCATTATATTGAGTTACTATCTCATTATATTGAGTTACTATCTCATTATATTGAGTTACTATCTCATTATATTGAGTTACTATCTCATTATAATGAGATAGTATCTCAATATAATGAGATACTATCTCATTATATTGAGTTACTATCTCATTATATTGAGATAGTTTTTTTTTTTTTTTTTTTTTTTACAGAGTGGCGGAAACGGGCTTCCATAGCAGGAATAATGGAACAAAATTCAACCCATATTCAGTGGGGTCAAAGCAACCTGCACCATAGTGCTTCACATACGCTCCGTCACATGAAGCACCGCTTACTGGGCAGAGATCAGGTTCCTTAACATTAGAGCAACCAAATATTCATCCATAACTCTTTCAACAAAGAACTTCTGCTTTTTGGAGTTCTATAGTTCAGGTGCCATGGAAACATTTAGTGTTATCCATGAATTGTCTAAAAAAGTCTGATTCTAATGAGAGCATATTTCTTCCTAACTCTTAGGTTAAATCTTTCTCATCAGTCAAAGGTTTTCTTCAGAACTTAGAGAAGCATTCCAGATCCAGATCTATAGGTTGTTAAAGTTATGTAAGGACAGTCAACCTGATCTCTGCTGGGGAGCTGAAACACATCACTGCTTTATTTACCTGGATGAGGGCTAAGTTCCCCATGATCATCTTCCACATGTCCTTGGCTGTGTCCATCTGGCCAATGTTAGCCTGAAAGGGAAACAAAACACACATCTAATTATGTTTTCCTCCACAAACCTTTGTGAGTGTGTGTGCTGAGGGTCTTGGCGGTTCACGGCTTACACAAGCTATTGATCCCATGAGAACAATAAAGAGTCAGTTTATAGGACAAAGACTGTCTGTGTGCTGACCCCCCCATCCTGCGGCTGTCCCCACTTATCTCATCTCTTTCTTCAAACAAAAACACGCTGATGGTCTGGAGAGTCAAGTGGCCGTGGCTACAGTGGACCACTGTGTGAGCGATGATCCACAGACCCGTCCACAGCGAGAGGATGCAAGCATACGGCCTCCTCTTCCTCTCTGACCTCTCATTTTAAGATTCACTGGGGAGGGGGAGTGATCCGAGAACTCCCTGTGAACCTGTTTACTGGCGATGCACAGATTTTATTTAGCATTTATTCAACTAAAACTGGTCTTTGAATTAAAACAGTAGTTCCAGTTTGAATATTTGATTCAGTTCAATTGAATGCTGCCATCAACACCTTTGTTTCTAGATGTTGGAGCTTGGCCTGTTTTCCAGTGTAGTCCTGTTTCTCTGACTGTGACTAACTGGATGTGCTCTCTTCATCCTCTGACATGGGAGCTGGCTCGGAGCTCGTCTGCCTGGCTGTGTGTTTCCTGGACGGGGCCGCCTGTGGAGCTGGTTGACAGTTGCCTTTTGTATCTATGCTTCTTTTTCTATGTCTGCTTCTGTCTCCCTGAACCCCAGTGGGCCTCAGCAGATGGCCGCTCACACTGAGCCTGGTTCTGCTGGAGGTTTCTTCCTGTTCAAAGGGAGTTTTTCCTCTCCACTGTCGCTGCAAGCATGCTTAGTGTGAGGGATTGCTGAAGAGTCAATGAGTCGATGCAATCAGCTGGTTTTCCTTAGATAGAAAACTTTGAATCAATCTGACTGGATGATCTGGTGAACTGGAAAGTGACCTGAGATGACATGATGTGAATTGGAGCTATAGAAATAAATTGAATAGAATTGAAAATTGCATTCCTTGTTTTAGTAATATTATTTTATCCAGCCTTTCTAACACCCTAAAAAATGGAGAAATAAAAGCTGGTATGAAATATGCTAATATCGTATCGTATTTTAAAGGTCCAATATCGGTATCATATCTGAAATGAAAAGGTGATATCGGGATACCCCTACTGCGAACATGTTTATAACAGCAGTGAAAAGGAGAAATATAACAATAAAGAATACAAATCATAATAAGGTAGATGGACAGAAATAAAATCAAATGCAAAACATTGCTAAATGCTAACTGCTCCAACATCAGCTGTTACATAAATTATCATAAGTATTAATATTTTCCAAGAATAGGAAAATCTGTTCCCATATCTTTGTGAACAAACAATATTTACCCTTAATTAGTGTTGCACCGACATTCGAAAAGAGATACAAGTAGCGGATTGGAATACTGCATGCGTAAAGGCCCAAAAGCAATCGATCAATATAAGCATGAAACTCCTTCAGTACAAGTGGTTAATGAGAACTTACTTAACGCCAGTCCAATTGAATCGCTGGGCACCTAACATCCCAGATATCTGCTGTAAATGTTTGGTTGGAAAGGGTGCTCTCTTTCACTGTGTATGGGAGTGTCCAAAGTTACAACAATATTGGAACTTGGTTATGCAAACTTTGTCAGAGATTGTTGGAGTGAATGTACCTGCTGGGGCCAAAATGTGTGTTTTGGGTATTTATCCAGAGAACTGTGCCTTTAATTCCAGACAGTTAAAATTGATTATCTTTGGACTCCTGCAGGCCAGGAGATTAATATCTCTATACTGGAAAAAAATGGATATACCATCAAATCACATGTGGGTGAAGGAGATGACATCGTGTATGGCTCTGGAGCGACTCACTTATATTGTCAGAGGAAAAGGAGCAAAAGACATGGTCACCGTTGACCGAGTTTCTGAAACGTTACAGAGGACATTAAGAGAACTGTGCTGAGATGGCTGGGTTTTTTTTTTCGTCTTCTTTCTCTCATTGTTCATTATTGTTTATTTGTGTTTGTTTGTTTTGGGGACCAAGTTATTTAATGAGAATCTGTGTTAAGTGTATCACTGTCACTTGCTTTTTTTGTTATGTTATAAAATTCAATAAAAAATATAAAAAAAAAAAAAAAAAATTTGAGTTGCAACAATACTGCTACCAGTATGGGGCGGGGCCCCGATCCAGCACTAAAATATACACACACATCAATTTCAAACAGATGGTATTGGTACGGCCGATACTGCACAGCCAGGTATCAGTAACGGTATCAGGGCCAAAAAATGGCATCAACCCTACCCTTAATCATAAAGCTGAGTTTCTCCATGGCAACAGAGCTTGATAATGTAGATATCCAAGTTTTTAATTAAGTCTGGTTACAGATTGCCAGGATGTTGCTAAACTATATTTGGCACCAAACACTAAATGATGGACATTTGATCATGCCGGCTCATTTGAGTTTGAGTGGGAAAAATTCCTAAAACACGTAACCTAGGACAGTTTTTATGTACACTACAGAAAATAAACTACGATAAAATAACTGCAATCAGTGATGATACTACATAACTGTTGTATTTTTATTATATATTATACTACATAACTGTTGTATTTTTATTATATATTATACTACATAACTGTTGTATTTTTATTATATATTATACTACATTTCTAGGAATACATGGTTTCCTATCTATTTGCTTGCCTTAATGAAGAATATAAACATCTGGTTTATTGTGATCAAAATGTTTTACTCTAATAAATAAAGCATCAATAATATTTTTTAGAATAATTATGACAGAGATCCTTAAAGGAACTGAAAGAGTTTATCAGTGCTAGTCAGGAAGAGATAATATTCCCAAAAACGTTCCACTGAAATCCTTCTTTTTGCAGCCCAGATGCCTTTTCACTCATTTTATTCACAGAATGAGTTTACCGCTGTGTTCATACCAACAGCACACAATCAGCTATCAGCTTGTTTCTGCACATTATATCGTCACATAAAGCAAAATCCTCTAAAGTTAAACCGCTGCTGCACCAGAGAAAACTAAACGTCTTTCTTTTTCGTAGGTAATCCTCCTGGCAAAGCAGATCATAATATTGTTTTCTGGTGTGAAATTAGAAGAAAGCTATTATAGAGGTCCTGCCTTTCTTTCTTGCATATTTGTGCTGTTATCACAGCTGTGGAATCAATGGGAGTGTCAAGGGGAGCTCATTCACTGATGGTTTGTGACATTCTCTTTCTAAATTTGGAAGGGTGTCAGTGAACGCAGGCTGCTGGATGAAGGAAACCATGGCCTGACCCACAGCATGCTGGCAGCAGCCTTGATAGGCAAAAGGCCTTGAGTTTGTATTACTTCCTTGGATCATTGCTTCAGGTCCTGCTACGGTTGCCTGTTAGGGCCAAAAAGGAATATGCTTGGATCAGATTGAGGCTGGTTTGTATTCACATCAGAAGCAAACTGCAACATAGTCTGCTTCAAGACTTTACCAAATGTTCTCTCCAGGCAGACGCTAGCGGATCAGACTCTGGATCAGCGATTATTTCAGCACAAACTATTTGAACCAGGTGGGAAAAATAGATTAGATTAGATTAGATGAGCTTTATTGATCTCACAGCGGAGAAATTCACTCGTCACATATTGGCATAGTAATTAAAGAAGGTGCAAAACAAGGAGGAAAAAGGTGCATTAAGAATAAACAGTATATATACAGTATATCCAGATACATACAGTATATTAAGATAAATAAGGATTAAGGATTAATAAACCTGGTCCTTTTAAAAAGGACAAAACGTGTTTCAATATCGCCTCATTTCCACCAGCCCGATGAAACCGATGCATGCAGAGTTCAGACTGAGCTTGGATCAGTTAGCCGCGCCGAGCTCCGTCCTTATGACCATTTACACATCAGGCTAGCTCCTCGCCTCCTATTGGCGGGCCACCATACTACAGGAATTACTCAAACAAAAACGGCGGCGTTTATAACATTCAGGAACTTATGTTTGTTTATATTAGTGATATTTCATTGTTTGTTAGAGAAGGCATTGTTCTGGGTATCATCCCAGGTCGCACCGCGCTCTATTGATGCCATTTACTGTTAACAGGCTGAAGTTGGTGATGTGGACAGGTGAATTACAAAGCCGGATACGTCAGAAAACCAACAAAATGAGTCAGCTGACTGTAAATAGGAGATGAGGCGGTTTGCTCATGCTCTCTTTGTTATCACAGAACAGAGCCACAGATGAATTAGTGCTGGCTTTATGCTGGTGGAGATTCTCAGGCATCCAGGTCATAGTCATTTCAAAAAGTTAAAGTTAGAAAAACAATCCACTGAACTTTGTTTCCAAGCTTGAGGACATTTCTCTGAATCCAATTAAAATCCTGTGTCACACCTGATGGTTGTTTCCACTCATTCTCTCTCTACCCAGTCTGAGTCTGAGCTGTTAGGAAAATCTGCAGCAGCAGTAAATGCAATAAAAAGTTTTGATTTAGCAGAAGGAATAAAAACACAAACATACAGTATTTTTTATTAAAACATAAAAAAGTATGCTTTGTCTCATTTATGTTGATTTATTATCTAGAATTCTAATTAAAATAATTAAAAAAAAAGGTGATTAAAATGCAAAAAAACTATGAAAAACTTGGAAGTTTTGAAAAGTTCTGCAAAAAACTGACCTTCCATTCATAAAATGAACATATTGGATGAAACTAGAGATTAGAAAAGCATCAAATGAAAGGAATAAAAAAAAGTAACATGAACTCCAGGAATCAGCCACTAATAGGGATTACATTGTTTCCACTAATAAGCTCATTATGAACCTTACAGTAGTCTTAATCTGCTCATAATTAGGGGTGAGATGGAAAAAGCAGAGTCCTGCTGGGCTCCGCTGGCAGACAGGGGCCAGTCATGCCTCAGGCTAACCAGCAGAGTTTGCCATGATTGGAGAGATATTCAGAAATGCTGAGATGAGAGGCTGAAGGAAATGAGTTTTAGAAGCATCCAGATGTGTCGCTGATGTTTCCTCACATCAAACTCTGAATGATTCACAACCAAAAAATAAATCCAGCACCTAATCAGCTACAGCAACTGTTTCTCTTCCAACCAGAGGAAAGAATGTGTTCGTAAGAGCAGTGCCACGCTATTACCTTTCTGCCTCCACACTTAAAGCATATTGGCTACTGCTGACTGCTGGTGAGCAGAGCTTACCGCCTGTTCTCCATGCAGAAAATAGCTAAAACTCTCATTTATTCTTTCATTTTCAAAAAGACCCATTAAGCTTATCTTACAGTTTTCTACTCCCACTTTTTGATGCTATTTGTGGTAAATTCAGCACTAGATCTAGACCTATTCTACAGACAGTCCATTAGTCCAAAACTTCCATTAGTCTAACTTGCCCTAAAAAGGGTTAAGGGGAAACCTGATTACCAACAGAAAATTTAAAGATGCACCATGACAACAAAGGTTGCGGTCAGAGCACGTCTGCATGAACGTCCTGTTTGTTGACCCTCAGATTCTCCATGACCACTATTGGCACTCTTACAACCCTAACAATGACATCTGTGTCAGTCCGGGGCTCTTTGGGAGGGGCCTGGCTAGCCTGACGTAGTCCGACTCAATTCTAGTCAGAATATGAGTCTGATGCTGCTCCATAGAGCTGTGATTATGGGGCGTGTTTCGAACGAACCAGGAAAAAAAATGCCTCTGCACTCAATTGGATAGACCTACAACCAATAAGAGCAACGGAGTGCGTAACGTATGTTAAGCGAAGCATAGTTGTTGTCCACAAAAATCAAAGCGTGCAGTT